TTAAAAATCTTCCTAAAAAGAAAAGTCTTGGCCCAGATGGTTTCACACCCAAATTTTACCACACTTACAAAGAAGAACTGGTGCCTATCTTTCAGAAATTATTCCACAACATTGAGAACAATGGAATCCTCCCCAACACCTTTTATGAAGTTCACTTATACATAACCCTGATACCAAAACCAGGAAAGGATGCAACAAAAAAAGAAAACTACAGACGAATATCCCTTATGAATATAGATGTAAAAATTTTCAACAAAATCCTAGCTAACCGAATCCAGATGCTTATCAAGAAAATAATCCGGCCGGGCGCGGTGGCTCATGCCTGTAATCCTAGCACTCTGGGAGGCAGGTGGATTGCTCAAGGTCGGGAGTTCGAAACCAGCCTGAGCAAGACCCAATCTCTACTAAAAATAGAAAGAAATTAATTGACCAACTAAAAATATATATAGAAAAAATTAGCCGAGCATGGTGGCGCATGCCTGTAGTCCCAGCTACTCGGGAGGCTGAGGCAGTAGGATTGCTTTATCCCAGGAGATTGAGGTTGCTGTGAGCTAGGCTGACGCCATAGCACCCACTCTAGCCTGGGCAACAAAGTGAGACTCTGTCTCAAAAAAAAAAAAGAAAAAAAAAAGAGAAAATAATGCATCACGATCAGGTGGGCTTCATCCCAGAGATGCAGGATGGTTCAACATACGTAAATCTATAAATGTAATTCACCACATAAACAGAAGCAAAAACAAAGACCACATGATTTTCAATAGATGCAGAAAAAGCTTTTGACAAAATTCAACACCCTTTCATGATACGAAAACTTAATAAAATAGGCATAGAAGAGACATACCTAAAAATGATACAAGCCATGTACGATAGACCCATAGCCAACATCATACTGAATGGGGAAAAATGGAAAGCATTCCCACTTAGAAGTGGAACAAGGCAAGGCTTCTCACTATCTCCACTTCTATTCAACATAGTACTGGAAGTCCTGGCTATAGCAATCAGACATGAAAGCGGAATTAAAGGTATCTGAATTGGGACAGAAGAGATCAAACTTTCACTGTTTGCTGATGATATGATATTATATTTAGAAAACCCCAAGGATTTAACCAAGAAACTCCTAGAATTGATAAATGAATTTAGTAAAGTCTCAGGATACAAAATCAATACACAGAAATCAGAGGCATTCATATACGCCAACAACAATCAAATTGAGAACCAAATCAAAGACTCAATACCCTTCACAATAGCAACAAAGAAATTAAAGTACCTAGGAGTATACTTAACCAAGGAGGTAAAAGACCTCTACAGGGAGAACTATGAAACACTGAGGAAGGAAATAGCAGAGGATGTAAACAGATGGAAATCCATACCATGCTCATGGGTTGGCAGACTCAACATCGTTAAAATGTCTATACTACCCAAACTGATCTACAGATTCAATGCAATACCTATTACAATTCCAATATCATTCTTCACAGATATGGAAAAATAATTTTACGCTTCGTTTGGAACCAAAGACCCTGCATATCAAAAGCAATTCTAGGCAATAAAACAAAATGGGAGGTATTAATATGCCAGATATCAAACTATACTATAAATCAGTAGTAATTAAATCAATCTGGTATTGGCACAAAAATAGGAATATTAACAGATCTGAGAACTCTGATACAAAACCATCTCATATAGCCATCTAATCTTAAAGTAGACAAAGCCATCTAATCTTAAAGTAGACAAAAACATACACTGGGGAAAAGAATCCCTTTTCAATAAATGGTGCTTGGAAACTAGATAGCCACTTGTAGAAGGCTGAAGCAGGATCCACACCTTTCACTTCTCATAAAAATCAACTCACGCTGGATGACAGACTTAAACCTAAGATATGAAACTATTAGAATTCTAGAGGAAAATGTTGGAAACACTCTCCTAGACATCGGCCTAGGCAAAGAATTTATGAAGAAGGCCCCGAAGGCAATTGCAGCAGCAACAAAAATAAATAAATGAGACATGAACAAACTAAAAAGCTTCTGCACAGCCAAAGAAACAGTCATGAAAGTAAAACAACACTACAGAATGGGAGAAAATTTTTGCATCCTATACATCTGATAAGGGGCTGATAACTAGAATCTATTTAGAACTCACAAAAATCAACAGGAAAAAAGCAAACAACCCTATCAAAAAGCGGGCAAAGGACATGAACAGAAACTTTTCTAAAGAAGACAGAATAATGGCTAACAAACATGAAAAAATGCTCAACATCTCTAATCATCAGGAAAATAAAAACCAAAACTACAATGAGATATCACTTATTTCCAGTAAGAATGGCCTTTATCAAAACGTCCCAAAATAGATGTTGGCGTGGATGCGGAGAGATAGGAACACTCCTACATTGCTGGTGGGACTGCAAACTAGTTCAACCTCTGTGGAAAGCAATATGGAGCTACCTTAAAGTGATACAAGTAGATCTACCATTTGATCCAGCAATTCCACTACTGGGCATCTACCCAAAAGATCAAAATACACTTTATAAAAAAAGACACCTGCACTCGAATGTTTATAGCAGCACAATTTATAATTGCAAAGCTGTGGAAACAATCGAAGTGCCCCATCAATTCATGAGTGGATTAATAAAATGTGGTATATGTATACCATGGAGTACTATTCAGGTCTAAGAAACAACAGTGATCTAGCATCTCTTGTATTTTCCTGTATAGAGCTGGAACCCATACTACTAAGTGAAGTATCCCAAGAATGGAAAAACAAGCACCACATATACTCACCAGCAAATTGGTATTAATTGATTAGCACTTACGTGGACACATAGGAATTACATTAATAGGGTATTGGGCAGGTGGGAGGGGAGAGGGGGGGCGGGTATATACACACATAATGAGTGAGATGTGCACTGTCTGGGGGATGGTCACACTTGAAGTTCAGAATTGCGGGGGGACGGGCATTATTTGAAACCTTAAAATTTGTACCCCTATAATACGCTGAAATAATAATAAAAAAAAGGAACAGTAATTTAAAACTACTAGGTATCAACAGATTAATCATCTAAAATTACTAGTTTAACTTTTATTATTCCTTTGCACAAAAAACATCAATGGCTGACCAGTGAAACCACATTCAACCTCCTTAACTTGCAATTGGCAGTTTCGTGATTTCAGTGAACCTTAACTTCTGAGCTATTCTGAACTAAAAATTCGTCACATAATTAAATCTCAATACGAAAAGTAAAACAGACCCTACAGTATTAAGGTTGTCCCATAAATTACAAAAAAAAAAAAAAAGAAGAAAATGCTAACACATACACACACTTAAAGTGCTTGAATAACTATTCAAGACAACACCAACCTAAAATAGAAATGTCTGATCAAATATCTGTGAACAGAAAAAAATTTCATTTAGAAATTCTTAAATAGTTATGCTTTTTAAATCAGTACAGATTTCTAGCCCAACAAACTTAAAGAACAAATGAAAAATAGCTTTTATTTTAATGACACTGCCTATACAAAAGAACAGGATTTATTCTGTAAAATTTGGATGCAGTCAAAGGTCGTACTCAAGGATCCAGAAGGCTACATGTAGTCTCGAGGCTGTAGGTTCCCCACCCCACAGACACAAGGACACAGAACTTATTTGCTTCATAACAATACTATTACTGAGTTCCTTAAGACACTCCAAGCACCCCATTATAATTTCTGACCAAAAACTTAAATGGAAAAAATTTTAAAACCAATATAAACTCTAAATCTGAATTTTGAGTGTGTATGTATATGTATGTGTGTGTGTGTGTGTGTGTGTGTGTGTGTATATATATGCCACACTGAAAGGTAATACCTAAAGAGAAATAACATTTACCATTTGCCAGGCTTTTCACTGAGCATTTTCCTATCTCACTTATTCTTCCCAACATAACCTGGTGAAGTAGGCACTGTTATCTTCCTCATTTTACAGATGAAACACCAGGACCAGGGAGACTGAGTAACCTGCCATGGAGCCAGTCTGGCTCAGGTCTGTGTTTTTAAACATTATACTACTTGCTTCTTATACTGAAAGTTACTCCACAGAGAATGGAATAGAAATTACTTTTCAATATACAGTTGACCCTTAAACAACACGGGTTTGAACTTCACAGGTCCACTTATAGGTAAGTTTTTTCTCAGCCAAACTTGGACTGAAAATACAGTATTCACTGAACATGAAAGCCGCTTACACAGAGGGCAGAGTTTTCATGCAGGCAGGTCCCACAGGCTGGCTATGGGACTCAGTGTGCACAGATCTGGGTAATTCACACAGTCCTGGAACCAATCCCCACATACACCAAGGGACAACTCTATGTCTATCTCCTACGAGAAGATGGTAGTTCTCAAAAGAAGGGAAGAAATATCAATATCACATTTTAGTTAGAAACAGGGTTTTATTTTTGAAAACAGAAAAATTAAACAATACTTAAAAATACAATATATCAATATTTTCATATATGGGCTTAGAATACCTAGAATGTAATAACTAAAGTATCTGTGCACACATTTTAAAAACATAAACACTTCTGGATATTGGTACCAGCCTGTTTTAATTTATATATATGTGAGTAAGAGTACTTTGGTTGAAAAATTAAAAAATACATATTAAAAAGTATTACCAAATTTTGAAGCTTTATTGTATTCATTGTCTACATATTGTACATAATTATAAATCCTTTTGTTTTTCAAAAAGGGACTGATGTGGATATCAACAATGGTTTGAATTTAAAACTGATTTTTACGATTTGCTTTGTACGATTTATTTAGTTAAAGCTCACTGCAATCTTCTTTCACCTATTCCTTGTGGCTTATTTTATTTTTTTCATTTACTTTTTTTTTTTTTAGAGTTAGGGTCTCACTATGTTTCCAGGCAAGATTCAAACTTCTGGGCTCAAGGGACCCTCCCACCTCAGCCTCCTGAGTAGCTGGGAACACAAGCACACACCACCATGCCCGGTGGCTGATGTTTCGTAGAAAGGAACATCAGATGAAAGTTGAGATCTGTGAAAGTTTCAAACCAGTTCTTCTAGGTAGTCCGCAACCATTTCATAGGATTAAATCAGTTCTTAAAGCAAAGTAGCAGCCATTATATCTGAGTACTAATTGTTCTTTTCCCATTGGTGTCTGTGGGATTTTCTGTTCTGTTACTTTTTATGGATTCTAACAAGTTTTTAATCCTTTCACTTGAAAACTTTTCCTTTTTATTCTTGGTAGGAGACTTACTCTTTGCTACAGATGGTAGCAGTAGGGTTGCCAGCCCCCAGGGCTGATTACTTGATGAGGAAGGCCGATCTTGATCTTCCTGTTGTAAAATCCAGGCACTTTCTCTAGCCAACTCTACAAATTTTTGCAGCTGGCTTTGACTTACATTTTTGCTTATGTTGAGGGAAGTTTCAAAAGGATTCTGAATGTGCAGAGGAGAAGAATCAGGTTTGTTTTGTTCTCTTCCCTATAGATTATTGCAGAGAAGAAAAAATGATGAGTATATGAAGGGCTTAACTCTAAGAATAGTTTGGTTAACATAATAAATTGTCAAAACACAAAACACCAATACTAACTTTACAGAGTAAAGTTACCGCTTAGGTTAAGAGGTACCTGGACTAAATTAACCAATAAAAGCACCTTTAAAACAATCTTTTACCTAATAAGCTAGAGCTTGAAAGAAAAAAAAAAGAAAAATGGATGAAAATAAGATGAAGATAAATTTATTTTTGAGACTTGCTAAAAACATATCTATTATGGTGGGAATAGAAACACCAAAATTAAAATCCTTAAATTAAATATAACAATTAATGTTTCCAAGTATGAAAAAAGAAAGGAAGAGAAAGAACAAAGGATTATTCATTATTCATTTAAAACACTAAAAAGTTTCTATTACATTTCTAAAGATCCAATAATAAGGTTCCACCATGTAAGACAATACCTCAGAGAAAAAAGAAAAGCTATGAATCAAATGAACAGCACTAAGTCATTAGACTGTGTACCATTTCTTCTTTCAAATAATACCACAAATATTACTCAAATATGACAAAGCCGAGGATCCAGAGTCTCCAGTGTGAGCAGCACTGCTCATTCCTAACTTCTTTCATGCCACTGCTCAGCAAGGGTCTTGCCTATCTGTCCTCTCTGAGCCCCAGAGTACAAATGGATAAAAGACCTTTGTATGTGTGATGACCTTTTCTTTTAGGTTGCACTGTAGAACTTTCTGTATTCTGTCTCCCCTCCCCACACTTTTAACAAAGTCTCCATGAACAGGATAAAAAGGAAGAATGAAAAAAGATAAGCTGAAGAAAAAATATCTGTGTCAGTGTTTATGAAGCCAATCCTGTGCAGTTTGTAACTAAGTAGCCAAATGCTTACAGAGCCATAACAAGTACCTCCCACTTGTAAACAAATTTTGGCTAGGTTTCTATCCTGACTGATTATATTTTCTTTAAAAAAGTCTATCATTCTAGCTATTCAGAAGGGGGGAAATCATAAATTCATTTGCTTTAAATAAATTAAATCCTAAGGGCTCAAATTGAGGGAATCACTAAAACACCTTTGGGACTATATATTAAATGTCTTCTATAGAAAACAAATCCAATTTAAAAACAACTATATGTAAAATTATGTTTTCCAGAAAACTTTTCAGAGTGTACGTCACACTCTAAGGGATACGGTGTCAGCACCAAGTGATGACAGAAGTCCCACGGCATGAGAAAGGGAGACGCTAGGGAGCAGCATTTGCCCTTCCAAATGAGATGACTTGAACCCCCCCTCTGGCACTGCCCTTCCTACTACTGCCTACTACTGTAGGCTTGAAATGACGTTGTTAGGGTGCTCTGAAAACTGCTAGTGCAGAAGAAGACCAGATACTTAATAATTACTTATTAAAACATTACTTGCCTGTCGAATATTTATGGAATTTTTATTGAAAGTGAAATTGCCAAAATATTCAAAAAATTCCTTCAGTAGTAAGTCTGCAAGAAAAAAAAAACAAGGAAAATCAGAGTTAGTCTGTTTCAATCCAAAAAGGAATAAAGAAAAAGAAAAACGCTTACCTAGTGTTTCTGTGTTTCCCGAAGGTTTAATTCTATTCAAGTCTCGAAGAAATGTACAGTTGTTGCCTTCTATTATACATTTATCTTCTGCATCTTAAACAATGAGAAAAGAAAACTATTTCATATTATATTTCAAAGATATTTCCTACCTTGGAAAAGAAATCTATGATTTAAATAAATCAAAGTTACAGTGTGTCCTATTATTAGTCAATGTTATAATATACTTACAGTTAAGAGGACTTAAAATTCCATTTGAAAAAAGAGTTGAGACTAACTATACTACAATGAAATTAACATTACATTAAATTTACCATACTAGAATTATTGTCTATGGACAACTCAAGGGTTCCTAATCAATCTTTTGAGGTAATCAGTTTTTTAGTAATAAATGAAAATGTAGAAAGTTCCCATCTTTGACCAACCCAAATTTTGGCAGACACTATCTTTAATCAGTAGTTAATTTAAATCTCCAATTCCATTATTGCCACCTTTTTATGCATTTATTTAATGATTCATATATGACACAACTAAACGCTCTTAAGGGTTTTTAACAACTGCAGGTAATTTCTAAAATGCAGTACTCCAGAGTGACTGGAATTCAGTAATTCAGTAAAAGAAGTTCAGTAACAGCACATCAGACTTGGGCATTGACGTTTTCTACTACTATTTTTATCTTTAGAGGTAATCATCTTTCTAATTATTAATATACAACCACCATGAAATTCCTGGCTCACTCTAATCTACCTTCCACTATACACTATATACTATACTCTTTTGAAGAGCAAACTCCCATTGTTGGGAAATCTCATCCAAACTGGTTCTCCATTCCTTGTGTTCCATCCTCCATTTGTACTCAGCTGACTGCATTCCGACTGTATGCGTGCTGTCCACTCCTCTGCCCCAGTTTGCAACTACAAAGGCCACTGGCCTGTTCATTATGCCCCCCCCACCCCAGTCTGCCCACAACAACAGTACCTAGCACAGAGCAGGCACACACAATCAGTAATCTGAATAATTGCTGATATTTGGTTTTAAATGTCTATAATCACCAGAGAGAAATTTGAAAGAGATAAATAAGGCTCCTTCAAACTTCTGTCTCCTTTTTATGGTTTTTGTTATTTTTTTGTTAAGACCTGGGTTACTGGCATAATTTCTCAAAAACCATTCTAGGTTCTAACATATCAATTTCAATAGCAAATTTTATGTGCTCCATGATACAACTAACGGTACACTAAAGAGCTTATACAGTTCTATTTAGACCTATTTTTATGGAGCCTGTGTACATGTTTTACTATTTTAAGAGATCGACAGATTATAATATGTGTGACACAGCGCCAGTCACATATATTGATGCTCTTTTAGTTGTTGTATCTTTTTTCAGGACTGTATCTCCAATTAAAGCATTACTAACTTAAAAAAACGAGATCCACGTTAAAATATTTCTAGAAATATACAGTGATAAAAAATTGAGACTGTCTCTGAGTGTTACTTTTCACTAAAAGGGTTTTTAACATAAAGTAACAAAACAAAGGAAAAAATTATTCTCTGATTTAAGATAGGGGCATCTTTGTTTTTTCAAAACACCTAAGGCATTCCAGTCTAACAAACAGCTTGGTTGTCAAGTCTTTCCCTTCCTTTTCTCTTTCTCCTGTTTTTTTGTTTTGTTTTTATTTTGGATTTTTGCTGTAACTATCACCCACACAACACCTACACAGTCCAATACAACAGCCACCAGCCACCTGTGACTCTTAAATGTTCAAATTAAAATTTCAGTTCCTCAGTCATACTAACTGTATTTTAAGTGCCTAACAGGCACAGGTGGCTAGTGGCTGTAATACTGCACAGCATGGATACAGACCATTTCTATCATCACAGAAAGGTCTCTTGGATAGTGCTGCTTTAGCAAAGTGATTCTCAGCCTATTCAGACATATGAGACTATCACTGTAATTCCATGGCACTTTCTTCTTAAAAGTTTTGTATGAAACACTGGCAAAAATTCATAAGTAAATACAAACTCAATTGTGAGGAAAATAAACACATAAGCACCTTAATTAACTCATAATATTAATATAAACTTGATGACACTTCTTATAAAAGCAGAACATTATAATGGATTTTTTCAAAATTAAGGTTATATATTTACTAAACTTAATTTCCTTGCTTCCTTTGGAAATCTTAGGTCCTCATGGATTGGCAAGCAATTCCTGTTTTCAGCACAATAAACATGACAAATATAATTTACAGAGTAATGTTCTCATAGATATATCCAGATTGATAAACTTATCCCCATTTTCAGGGAACAAACACTACAGTACTACAATAATCCATAATTTATCAGAGAGATCCCTGCTGCAATATCTGGTAGATTACTAGGGGCTGCATATAATCATATCTATGGGATGTATAATCATTCATGTTTTTCTGGTCAAAAGAATGGAAATCAACATTGTTCCAGCCACAGGCATTTCTAATAAATAACTGGAAATCGATAGATACATGAATAAGAAATATAATAGGCATCAACTTCATGAGACTTATTATTTTTCTTTTGAAAAAATCCTTTATAATGAAGAAGAGTTTACTAGAACTAAACTTGAATAGCTAAAAATGATATAAATATGTTCAGCTTCTATTAAAATGATTAACAGGTCTGAACCTTCCAAGATGCCAGTTGTAAATAAGAGGGAGGGGCCAACAGGCGATTATACTCTCTGCAGGCTAAATGTTTAATATTTGCAGGGGTGTGGGGGGTGGCTATAACCTTAGGCTTATCAGATATCTGAGGAAAGCCTCTAATATGAAACTATGCAAAATTAAAATTTAAAACTATTTAGTTTTAGGCTAGGTAAAGAAAAAGACAACATTAATTGAATATTTGGTGCTTCTGACTGTTTTGAGAAAAGATTTAGACAACTAGAAGCAAGTCTGAGATTCGATTAATGTTAAGTATGTAAAAAACAAAAACAAAAAATAAGAAAATAAGTAGGGTTAGGGTTAACCCTAACCATTAACTCTAAAGAAGATAAAAAGTTGGGCAGGAAAGGAAATTAACTTTAATTTACCCCATGGATCAGATATAAATAGCATTTACATAGTCATAAGAATGTAAAGTGTGCACACCAAAATTATGATATAGCATATTCAGAACATGAGGGATGGAACGGATGTGTGTGTGCTAGGACTACAGGAGGAGAAGAGATAATTCCTCCTCTTCCATAAAGGGAAGTCGCAGATGGTATCTAAACCCAAAAATCAAGAAATAGCAATTCAAGCATTTTATTTAGAAATAAGGTTAAAAATTTGCATGAGCTAAAAGAGTCAGAAGTAGCTGCCCACGGAGAGAGGCAAAAGGAGCAGAAAGCACAGGCTGAGAAGGCACATTATTGTTATAAAGTTTATAGAATTATTTTACTGTTTAACCATGTGTGCCTGTAACTTTGATATAAATGAAACCTTAAAAAAAAATTACAGGTCGAGAATTGTGAAAAATGGCGGACTAGGGATGACCTCCTGGCTCTCTCCTCTTGGAGTGGGAGGTAAAGAAGGCGGCCTGAATCACTGGAGTGGGTAGTTCTCCCACAGGATCAGCTTCACGGAATTGCAGGGTAGCTTTAAGGGGCAGCAGTGCCGGGAAAAGGAGGAAAGTGACTCAGTGGACTTGCTGTGAAGTTCCGAGTGGTACCACGGGGATTGGACTGTAAGCTGGCCGTGCTCAGAGGCAGCCAAACGGGTGTGTGATCCATCCCACAGGGGGACGACTTCTCCTTCACCAACCTCCACGCCCACGCAAGCAGGGAAGGGCCTGAAGACAGCGTGAAGAGGTAACACGGACGGGCAGGCAGGTTGGAGAGGAGGCAGGAGCGGAAAGTAATTTGAAATCTCCAGGGCACGGTGTAAGGCTGCCTTGGCTGGGAGATGTATAAACACCAGCAGCTTATGCCTCGCTTGTGAAGGGACAGGAAAGTGAGACAGATTGCTCATTTGACTGAGTTGCCCGGTAGACTCGGCAGCGGCCCAAGTGCTAGGAGGGAGGGAGTGGAAGAAGGGGGTGAGAGCCATCCTCCAGGACCTTCCCGGGGTCTAAAGGGTCCCAAGCCCCGCCACCACCAAGGACGCGCAGATAGTTTTCGCCCCTCCTCGGAACTTGTCAGGTTCCCAGCTGCCTGAGCTCTGCTGGTGAAGGGACAGAAGGCGGGGTAAGAGGCATCCTCCGCAGACCCTCCCCAGAGGTCTCCAGCGGCCACAGCCCCACCGCCCGGGGGGGACGACGATAGTCCTCACTCCTTGGCGGAACTTGTCCGGTTCCCAGCCCCCTGAGCTCTGCTGGTGAAGGGACAGAAGGCGGGGTGAGAGCCATCCTCTGCGGACCCTCCCCAGGGGTCTCCAGCGTCCCACGCCCTGCTGCCATGGGGACTCGTGTGGATAGTTTTCACCCCTTGGCGGAACTTGTCCGCGGTTCCCAGCCGCTTGAGCTGTGCTAGTGAAGGGACAGAAGGCGAGGTGAGAGGCATCCTCTGCGGACCCTCCCCAGGGGTCTCCAGCGTCCCACGCCCCAACGCTGCAGGGATGCGCGGATAGTTTTCACCCCTTGACGGAACTTGTCCGAGGTTCCCAGTCGCTTGAACTCTCCTGGTAAGGGGACAGAAGGCGGGGTGAGAGGCATCCTCTGTGGACCCTCCCCAGAGGTCTCCAGATGCACAAGCCCCGCCGCTGGGGAAGGAGACGTGCGGATAATTTCCACCCCTCTGTGAAATTTGCCCACGGACCCCAACCGCTTGAGCTCTGCCAGTGAAGGGGCAGAAGGGGGGTGAGAACCATCCTCCATGGACCCTCCCCAAAGGTTTCCAGCAGCCCTAGACCCATCACAGGGGCGCAGAAAGTTTTCACCCCTCAGCAGAACTTGTCCGTGGACCCCAGTTGCTTGAGCTCTACCGGAGAAGGGGCGGAAGAGGGGTCTGCAGCAGCTAAAGCTCCACTGGTGACACGGAAAAGGGATAGTCTTCACCCCTCAGTGGAGATTCTCAGCGGTCCCTGGCAGCTCAAGCACTGCTGATTTTAGCTCATAATCCATTCCCTGCATCTCTGATCCTCAATAAAGCGTCCAGATGAGAAAGAACCAGCGAAAGTTTACAGGAAACATGAAGGACCAGAGAGAAAAGTCACCTCCAAAGCAAAATACTCTTGTTCCATCGTCTGACACCAACATGTCAACATGTCATCATTACATGATATGAGTAAACTGACAGAGGAAGATTTTTGAATATGGATTGCTACAAACTAAATGGAATTGAAGAGAAAATAGAATACACAATAGAGAAACCAAGAACTATACAGGAAATGAATGAAGAGATTCTCACAAGAATGAGACTATCAGAAAACCAAAAGAAATTCTGGCAATGAAGGAAACAATTAAGGACCTCTATAATCAGTGAAAGCCTAAAGAACAGGATGGACATGCAGAAGAAAGATCTCAGAACTTGAAGATTATGTCTATGCTCTAAACAATCAGAGGAAGAAAGGAAACACAGAAACAAGAAACAAGACCAAATTTACAGGAAGTGTGGGATTATGTTAAAAAAACAATATCAGATTGATGGGATTCCAGAAGGGAAAGAGGAACATTCCAAGGGCTGGAAAACTTATTTCACGATACTGGAGGAAATAATGCCGACCTAATATGCCAGACCAGAAATCTTCGATTGCAATAAAAGAAGCACGCAGAACCCTGGGGAACTCACTTGTAAAAGGCAATGACCTCGCTACGGTGGTTTTTAGGCTGACCAAAGGTAACGTGAAAGAAACAATTCTCGGTGCATCGGAGACGAAAGCAGCAAATGACCTACAAAGGTAACCTATCGACTAACAGCAGACTTCTCATCTGAAACCTACAAGCAGGAGGGACTGGTGCCTATCCTTAATCTACTAAAACAGAACAAAGCCCAACCTAGAATTCTTTTATCCGCAAAATTAAGTTTCATCTATGAGGGAGAATAAAGTCCTTCTCAGACAAACAATCACTGAAGGAATTGCAAAGACCAGACCATCCTACAGGAAGCTTCTTTAGACCCGCATTTCTACCAACAGGCCAGTAGACACTCTTCAAGTGAAATCATCAAAGAATTAAAGTTTAGATCTTGAACTAAATGACTCAAGGAGTAAACAAGGCAACAAGACTCCACCCAACAATATGAATGGTAATCTCCTCCAATTTCAATCCTTTCAATAAATGAAAAGGCTTAAATGGTCCTCTGAAGAGACATAGACTGGCAGAGTGGATAAATTCACAAGCCTAGCATCTGCTGTCTACAGGAAACACATCTAACCCAAAAAGATGGCCTTCTGGCTGAAGGTCAAGGTTGGAAAACTATCATCCAGTCAACAGAAGTCAAAAGAAAGCTGGAGTAAGCTATACTATTTGCAGATAATATAGCTTTAAAATAGCAAAAGTAAAAAGGATAAAGATGCCATTATATAATGGTGAAAGGGAAGATCCACAAGAAAATTTAACAATTTAATATCTACCGCACCCAATACAGGGCACCCAATTACTTAAAGCAAACCCCGTGTTACATAACACACTATAGTAGCAGGGGACTTCAACACCCATTGAATGATCTGGATAGATCCTCCAAACAGAAAATAAGCAAAGAAATAATGGACCTGAATAAAGCCCTTGATCAAAAAGGTCTGACAGATCTCTATAGAGCATTCTATCCAAACAAACTTGAATTTAACTTCTTTTCAGGCAGCCCATGGATCCTACTCCAAAATGATCACATCCTAGGCCACAAATCAGATCTCAAAGAATTTAAGAAAATAGAAATTATACCTTGTATCTTCTCTGACCATAACGGTAAATTACAGTTCAATTCCTATAGAAACATCAACCCTAAACAAAATCATGGAAACTAAACAATCTATTATTGAAAAATTATTGGTAAAGAGGGAAATCAAGAATTTCTTCGAACAAAAGATAACGGTGATCCTCTCTTCAAAACCTGTGGGATCAGCAAAAGCTTACCTGAGAGGAAAACGAATAGCAATTAACGCTCACATACAAAAAACAGAAAGCTTAGATACTGACAACTTAATGAATAAGCTCAAGGAATTGGAAAAAGAAGAGCAAACAATTTCCAATCCTAATAGAAGAAAAGAAATAACAAAGATCAAAGCAGAACTGAATGAAATGGAGAACAAGAGAACTATACTAAAAATCAACAAAACCAGGAGTTGGTTTTTTGAAAAGATAAACAAAATCGATGGCCCTCTTGCTAGATTGACAAGGACCCAAAGGGAAAGGACTGTAATAAACTCAATAAGAAATGAAAAAGGAGAGATCACAACAGATACCAAAGAAATACAAAACATTATATTTGACTATTATAAAAAAACTGACACAGTAAGACAAAACTCTCAAAAAATTCTAAAGGCCTTAGTCTCACAAATCATCTGCTCTCATAACTCCTGGTGGGCATTTAAAAATACAAAAAGCACTTAAATTTTAGATTCACAAGGCTTTAAAAACCAAGACAAATTACATGACTAATAAACAAATACACATGGCTTTGATAACATATGTTAATTATATTCATTCATAACACCACAAAGAGAAAATAGTGAATATTGCTTCTAGTCTTACCTGCTAAGGTTTTTAGCAAATCTAGTGTTGGAAGAATAGGGGGTGATCTTCTCTGGAGAAAAAAGATGACCATCATTGTAAGGGAGAAATTTGTAATCCATGCACCAGGAATACTACTCGTTAATGAATGTGCTCGAGCCCAACATCGTATACTAAACACTAAGGCTCTTACTCTTGAGTCCAGGGCACCATATATATAAAGGAGTTCAGAACTTTTCAAGGCAATCCTTCAAAAAGGAAGAAGAAAAAGAATTTTCAAACCCCCAAATTATGATCCAAGAGTAAAATAAAATATACGCCTGAAAACATATCTAAACATCTTACTATATCTGAATGTATTCAGAACACCATGATCAGATAATCAAAGTAGTATGTATTTGCAATATAAAATTTAAATTCCCATTAAAACATCCTTATTTTTATTCTTTTTTTAATGAAGGGGGAGTGAGGTAGACTCAATTTCCTTTTTTTTATTGAGATAAAGTCTCACTCTGTCACCTGGGTAGAATGCAATGGTGTTATTGTAGCTCACTGCAAGCTCCAATTCTTGGGCTCAAGCGATTCTCCTGCCTTAGCCTCCCAAGTAGCTGGGACTACAGGTACGTGCCACCACACTTAGCTAATTTTTCTACTTTTTTCGGTAGACACAAGGTCTCACCCTTGTTCAAGCTGGTCTCAAACTTGGGGGCTCAAGCAATCCTCCTGCCTCAGTTTTCCAAAGTTCCAGGATTACAGGTGTAAGCCACCGTATCCAGCCTCAAAAACACAGAATTTTTAAATCAAAATTCCTAAACATGGTTTAAATAATAAGTGAAACACACAGGGCTCTTGATAACTATCAATGAAGACATAGACACATTTATAAATGAGTTTCACACTCTGGTTTCACACTCTGGTTATCTAGTTCTTTGGCAGACAAGTTAGCCTAAACATAGAAGAAAACATCCTAATCATATTATCAAGAAAGTATTTAGTTTGAAAATTCTTACAGTACGTAAAGTACGCAAAATTACTTAACCCTAATATTTACAGAAACCATCCAAGTCCTGGCACCACCAAAAAAATAAACAAAAAAAACCCCAAAACCAAAACCATGAAGATAACACGCCTGTTAAGAAATCTCAAAACCTATTTTCAGGAAGTTTCCTAATCCAAATGTTAAAATGCAAAGTTAAAAAAAAAACAAAAAAACCACCAAAACCCATGAAGATAAAGTGCCTGTTAAGAAACTCAAAACCTACTTTCAGTAAGTTTCCTAATCAAAATGTTAAAATGCAAATTCAAAGTTCCTACTGATCAAAATATGTCCTGTAATTTCCTAAAGAACCAACAGAGGGCACAAAATCACTTGGTAGTATCAACTTAAAATTGTCTCTGAAACCAACACGGCATTTGCATCCTGAGTTTAAAGAGATTAGAAGAAACAGCAAGTTAGAAGAAATTCAGTGATTAAATGCCTTATATATGTAAATGAAGCTAAATTAAGCTACAAGTAAATATCAAATAGTACAAGGTATCTGATATAAAGAAATACTTCAAGAGTAGCAAAACCTGAAGAGATCATGTTAAAACAACTTCTTAAAAACCTGTCCCAACAAGATAAAGAAAATAACATTATTATAAAGATAAATCTCATTTTATCCTATTTTATATACCATAAAGAAAATATAATAATGATGGAAACTGCGGTATATATTTTTATTTTCATATTAAAATTTGGCAAGAAACCACAAAGACTTCACACCATGGGAGAAATCCAGAAGTAGTTAGGATTGTATCAATAAGCACTCAAGTTTAATCAAAATTGGCCTACACTGTACGTTTTCTGAATCTATTAATATTTTCAGTTGATTATTTATCTAACAGATAATATAGTGAAATGAAACTGTTACAATGAGAATACTACAGTTAAGAAATAACTCAGTTGAAAAACATTTTCCCATGGCCGGGCGCGGTGGCTCACGCCTGTAATCCTAGCTCTCTGGGAGGCCGAGGCGGGCGGATTGCTCGAGGTCAGGAGTTCGAAACCAGCCTGAGCAAGAGTGAGACCCCGTCTCTACTATAAATAGAAAGAAATTAATTGGCCAAATAATATATATAGAAAAAATTAGCCGGGCATGGTGGCGCATGCCTGTAGTCCCAGCCACTTGGGAGGCTGAGGCAGAAGGATCGCTTGAGCCCAGGAGTTTGAGGTTGCTGTGAGCTAGGCTGATGCCATGGCACTCATTCTAGCCTGGGCAACAAAGCGAGACTCTGTCTCAAAAAAAAAAAAAAAAAAAAAAGAAAAACATTTTCCCTACTGTGAACCCAACAAAAGTGATCAGAGTATAAAAGAACTTGTTATTCTCATCCCATATTTTTAAGCAAATAGGTTGCTAGGATAATACAATGCAAATATGGCTGAACCAAAACCGTCCAGTCTTGAGCTCATCAGACCACTTTCTGACCTAAGCAAAGATCACGTATTTGTTCGGTACACAAAGTTGACTATAACTGGAGGCAATTCAGAGGTCAAATTCAAGTTGCTATTTTACTTTCTAAGTATATTTAGACAACTTATATGACAAATAGGTACTTTTCACACTATCAGGCTACACAAGTAAGAAGAATGAAATGTATCTCTTCCCAGAAGATGTTAGGTATATCAGTGTTTTAACATAATATCCTAACACTTTGTTTGGGAATACCAAATTATCAATAGGTATAATATAAGAAAGAATTTGGTAATTTTCAATCCAAATGTTTGAATTTTTAAAAAATTATTATTAAAGCATGTCTCAAAGAGTTCAAAGCCACTGTTTCTATACAGTAAAAACGAAGCTAATATCTTATTGCATTTGAAGCTAATACCTTATAACACTCACATTTAACACCACAAACTTAAGAGATCATACCTATTGTTAGTAGTCAAGTCACACTGAAATCCAGAGGGCTGGTGTGAGAACCTCACAAGTGGACACCGAGCATTTAATATTTTTTGTACACCCACACAACCAGGACCAAAGTGGTCAAGGCATTCTCCTATCACAGATAGGATCTTCTGAGTTGCAATTCTTTCCGAAGGAACATTTTTCACTTGAAATTCCATCAGAAAATTTCCTGCGGACTGAATAATAAAAACATTTATAAATACAAGCTTTTTGTAAAAAGCAAATTCTTAATAACCTTTTCTAAAAGGATGCTCTAAATCACTTTTGTCCAAAAATCCCCATAAAAGTTCTTCATGAAAGCAGTCAAAAGCAGACTTAAGAATCCCAGTTGCCTTTTATTTTTCCAGTATATGAAGTACTAACTTGAAAAATCATTGGCTTTTTATAATTAACTTATGTACCACAATATATATTATAAAATAATATTATGCCTAGAACTACTTACTCCAGAAACTCAGCGAACATATACACTTGCCCTTTACCAGTTAGTCATTACATTTTATTAGACACTATAAGCTCACAGTAGTAGGGAAGTACAGGCATAAGAATAGCAGATCAACAGAATAAAACAGAGAGTATAAATAAACTTATATATAGGAATTTAACATTTAATACTGCAAATTACTGGGGGGATATTTCTATTCAACAAATGAATCAAGTGGCCATTAGAAAAAATAAACTATATCCCTAGTTTAGTCTGGTTTTACACAGTAATTTCAACATGGATCAAAGACTTAAATGTAAAAAGTACATCAGCCAAGTAATAGAAGACAGTCTTAGAGTAGTGAAGGATTCTCTAAGTATGACACAAAGTACAGAAGACACAAAAGTAATACGATTGCACAAAAATGAAAACCATATTAAGGCAAAGCATACATTTACTACTAGATAAGACAAAACAAAATAGCACACATCACAAAAAGGGCTAATACATGAAGGGTGTATACAAATGAAAGGAGGGAATCCATCTAATTCTAAAAATGGGCAAAAAGACAAAAAATTAACAGAAGAAATAAAAGGCTAAGAAACATAGTAAAAGATGCTCATGTTTTCTAGAAACTAAAATAGAAATTAAAACTGCATTGAGATTTTTCATTTTTCAGTCTGGCAAAGATAAACTGACAAATAGCATTAGTGGATATGGGGAAACATGTATGTACTGTCCGTGGGAATGTAAATGAGGACAGTCTCAAAACTCTTGAGCTCAAGCGATCTTCCTACCTTCGCCTCCCAGAGTGCTACGATTATAGGTGTGAGCCACCGCGCCTGGCCTAGACCTTATTCTTTAACCACAACATTGATGAAGTTTAGAAATCAGTAATTATAATTGTATTAAGTCCAAAGATTTCCCTCTTCTAATTTCTTAAGTTTAAATTATAGTAGTCTAAAGAAATATTACCTTGTGAGTGCTGCGTTTTCCAATTTCATCTAGATCCAAAAACATGTCCAAATCACATCCTAATTTCCCAAAAGTGTTCACTGAAGAGCCAAAGGGTCTGACTATACAGTCCGGAAAATATGCAGCTGCTATGTCTTCAATAAGAGAACAGGTGAGATATCGGAGCCTAGTGTTCTCCTCTGTTAGTTCGAATTCCTTCAGGAGAGTATTCAGCTGATCATCTACCTAGCTGGCCAAGACAAAAACAACAAAATATAGAAAATGTACAGGTCATATAAAATCATTGCCACTTTATTTCTAAAGATTTGATGGCTTTGGAAATCCACCTTTAAAATATGCATTTTTTTTTCTTCAGTCTTAAAAGTGGATTTAAAAAAAATACTCTTTACAAAGCACCAAGGAGTGACACTAGCAAAATAAAAGTTGGCTAGAATTAAACCTACCACTTTACATAAGCAATGAGTATAACGTGCTGTTTCAGGAAAATGAAAGTAGTTAAGTGCTCCAGAAGAGGTCAAAACAACCACAAGCTGAACATTTTAAACACAGAAACAAGGGAGACCAATGTTAAAGGAGAAAAAACACTAGAAATAAGTAACAATTCAAGTAAAGAAGGCCCAAGATCTCTTAGTTTCTCAGAATAACAATCCTGTATATTCATTATAAGACTGGTGTTAAAAATGATCACATTTTAGCCAGACATGGTAGGTCATACTTGTAATCCCAGCACTTTGGGAGACCCAGGCAAGAGGATCACTTGAAGCCAGGAGTTCAAGATCACCCTGGGCAACACAATGAGACCCCAGCTCTACAAAATATTTAAAAATTAGGTAGGCATGGTGGTGTGTGCCTGTAGTCCCAGCTACACAAGAGACTGAGGCAGAGGATCACTTCAGCCTAGGAGTTTGAGGCTGCAGCCTGGGCAACAGAGAGAGACCCTGTTTCTTTAAAAAAATAAGAGATCACATTTTGAAACTTGCACTGAAGTTGAATATTTCCAGTAAAAATGCATAGTTTCAAATTCCCTATTCAAAAACAATATTGAAAATAACTGAACTAAGCATTCAACTCATGAATAAATAAATAAATAAATGTAAAGGAAATGTATTGGTTAGAAGCAAAAATTTAAAAAGTAGAAAATCAAACGGAAAAAAATAACATTTTGATAAATAAAACCATGAATTGATTATCTGAATGGATTACCTAAATGTTTGACAAATCTGAGGAAGAAACACCAAAACAAATACTAATAATACAGGACAAAGAAAAGAGAAAGCCAGAAATAAAATATTTTAAAATTTATGGAAAACCATGGACAATTTTATGTCATCGATGTTGGGAAAAAAAAAGAAAACCTAAATTGTCCAAAAACTTTGAAAGAATATGGCCCCTCTGAGGAGTACAAACGGGATGGGGATGAGGGGCTCAGGGAGTAGAGAAGGATTACTTTCACTTTTCACTCGATATAGCCTGTAGTTTGAATTTTTAAAAGCACTCCCATTTATTAATAGCTATTAAAACTGTAATCAAAATAGCAAAATAAATGTACTAATGTTTTTTTTTCAAATATACCTTGACTAAGTAAGGTTTATGTTGTGAATGCAAAAATGGCTTTACATGAGGAAATCTATAATTACTGGGTATCTACCCAACTAAAAGAAGTCATTTTATCAAAAAGACACCTGCACACAAATGTTTACTGCAACAATTCACAGTCACAAAGATGTGGAATCAACCCAAGTGCCCATCAATTCATGAGTGGATTAACAAAATGTGGTATATACACACCATGGAGTACTACTCAGCCATAAAAAGGAATAAATTAATGTCTTTTGCAATTATTTGGATGGAACTGGAGACTATTATCCTAAGTGAAGTATCTCAGGAATGGAAAAACAAACACCACATGTGCTCTCTAATAACTGGGAACTAATCAATGGGCACAGGGAGATGTTAAAGTCATTGAGAATCAAGAAGGAGGGGGAGGGCCGGGCGTGGTGGCTCACGCCTGTAATCCTAGCACTTTGGGAGGCTGAGGCGGGCGGATTGCTCAAGGTCAGGAGTTCGAAACCAGCCTGAGCGAGACCCCGTCTCTACCAAAAATAGAAATAAATTAATTGACCAACTAAAAATATATATACAAAAAATTAGCTGGGCATGGTGGCGCATGCCTGTAGTCCCAGCTACTCGGGAGGCTGAGGCAGTAGGATCGCTGAGCCCCGAAGACTGAGGTTGCTGTGAGCCAGGCTAATGCCACGGCACTCACTCTAGCCTGGGCAACAAAGCGAGACTCTGTCAAAAAAAAAAAAAAAAAGAAGGAGGGGGAGAAGTGGGGGGTAAAAACTTATCAGGTACAATGAACACTATTTGGGGTGATATGCACAGCCCTGACTTTAGCATTATAAAAGCTATCCATGTTATAAAAACATTTGTACTTCCTTAATATTTTGAAATTTAAAAAAAAAGACAAAAGGAGAAAAACCATATGATACTCTCATATGCCAGTTATGACTTTTACAGACACCTCTAACCCGTGTCTCCCTGAAATGTCCTAAACCAAACTGTAACCCAACCACACGAATCCACTTGCTCAAGGCTTCTTGGGTTTGGCTCTGGGTCATGGTCCTCAAAATTGGCTCAGAATAAATCTCTTTAAAATAAAAAAAAAAAAAAAAGATAATCTCAAATGCCAAAACTCAACATCTACTCAATGTGTTGAACCAGATGAAATTCTAAGAAACCTAGAAGAAAACTTTTCTTCATAATGAATCCATCACCACTATCCATCCCCATAACTCTTTTCACTTTGTAAAACTGAAGATCTATGCCCATTAAACAATAATGTAGTTTGAATATTTTATAGCAACCTTTAAAATATCTAAAATAACATCATATGTATTTTTAAAAGTTGAAGTATACTGAAAAACTTACACTTTCTGCATAACAAAGTAATTCAAAAAGCTTCTTGCTTGAGGGAGATAACTGATGACTAGACTGCACACATGATTTTTCAGAAGTCTGGGTTGGTGAATTCTTTAATTTTAAATTGAAGAAACGTGACCTGAATGGAATTGCAGCTTCCATGCCCATGCTTGGAGTACGAGTTCCATTCTGCAGTGAACTTATACTTTCCTTCTGGCAAAATTCTACTACAGCATAGAGACCCTACACCAAAAACATAAGAAAAAACGATACATTTTATGATACATTTAATATACTATTTTAATTCATATTTTAAAACAATTATTATAATGCTACAAAATATTACTTTTTAAAATTTATAAATGATTCTAAAATGGGCATTGGTTTTACTCATTATAAGCAGATTAAGAAAAGGAACAATATAAAGTGATAAGTCAAAAAAAAGCTGAAAAGAATGCTAAAATAGAAAATTAAAAGGCAAAACAAAGATTCCCCTCCCATTGGCCTTTATCCCCCAAATAATGGGACTAAAGTATTCACATAATGAAATCAGTCATAAATTACTTATAATTCTAAAATACTGCTATAAGGATTTCTTTTCTCATATCCAAAAAAACTTAAAAAAACCAAACTCATTAAAGAAATTTAGATAAGCACTCAAATGTTTATAGCAGCACAATTCACAACTGCAGAGACGTGAAAACAACTCAAGTGCCCATCAATACACAAGTGGATTAATAAAATGTGGTATATGTACACCAGGGAGTACCACTGAGTCATAAAAAAAAAATGGTGAACTAATACCTTTTGTATTAACCTGGATGGAACTGGAGATCATTCTTCCAAATGAAGTATCACAAAGAACGGTTTTACAAACACTACATATATTCACCATTAAACTGAAACCAATCAACCAACATTTATGTGCACATACAGAACTAACACTCATCAGAAACCAAGCAGGTGAGAAGGAAAAGGAGGGGATGAGTAAATTCATACCTAACCGGTACACTGCACATTATCTGGGTGATGGGCATACTTGCAACTTTGACTCAAATGGTACAGAAGCAATTTATGTAACCAAAATGTTTGTACCCCCATAATATTCTGAGATTAAAATTTTAAAAAAAGAAATTTAGATAAGGAAAGATGGAGGATATCAAGAAAATCTAACTTCACCATATTACAAAAGACAAGAGCAAAAAAACAACGGAGACCTCTATCTTTTAAAAGCATAAACATTAAGTTAGATTGTTTTTCAGATACTTACAAAGCTTTCATAGAAGAAATGATTATTAATAGGTCCATGCTGGGATAAATATTTAAGAAACTTTTTTTCACTGAATTTATTTGGGCAATGTATCAAAATAGTCCGCTGTGCCTGTTCTCGTCTTTCTTTTTGCACCTCAAAGAATCTCTTTTTGGGAGTCTTATCTTCAGAGCCTATGAATGAAACAAAAATATTGCCAGCACACACACAAGTAAAATTTAAAACATATTTTGATAAGGTATACGAAGATTTTCTATAGGACTAAAAACAACTTCACCCTAATCTTGTATTTTTTTCTTCTCTCCCTTTATAAGGGTTAAGCTATACTATAGTAGTCTCCCTTTATCCAAAGGGGATACGTGCCAAGACCCCCAATGGATGTCTAAAATTGCAGACATTACCGAATTCTATACAGACTAAGTTTTTTCCTATACATACATACCTATGATAAAGTTTAATTTATAAATTAGGCACAGTAAGAGATTAACAACAGTAACAAAATAGAATAATTATAACAATATATTGTAATAAAAGTTATATGAATGTGGTCTTTTTCTATCTCTCATGATATATTATACTCACCTATTTTCAGACCACTGTTGACTGCTGGTAACTGGAACGGCAGAAAAGAGGGACTACTGTACTTCGAAAGTTCATTTGACTACTTTCCTGGAACTATCATTAAAATTGTCCACATTCTCTGTTTTGATTTACTATACTTGATACATAGTGCTGAAAACAGAGTTCTACAAAATTTTAAAAACAAAACCAGGGAAGTAAAACCGCTAATTTAACACTTCCACAAATATGCACATACAAAACCTGTGCGAACTATAACATTCCAAATCCTAAAAGACATTATTACAAGCCTGAATGTAATGAGATAATAAGGTTAGAAATTCAATATAATGTAAGTTATTAAGTTTTTTTGATAAAGGGTCTTGATCTGGCTTAAACACCACCAAATTACCAACTATCATGTGCTCCATATCACAAGGAAATCAAAGAATTTAAAACCTAACTGCTGCCCATAAAGAGCTCATGATAGTTTTACTAAGGAAAGAGAGGGGCTAGGAGTTTCATAATCACAGAGAATGCAGAAAACAAGAGTTGTGATAGTCAAGAATTACATATTAACAACCCAGTGCCAAAATGGGAAGATCAACAAATGAACTAAATATAAAGAAAAAAATAATCACTCAAGTTCTAAGAGCATATTAAAGCCAAACAATAAATATTAATAACTCATTTTTCTCCCAAGATATTTAACTTCCAGTTGGGTAGCTTACAGTAGTTCTTTTCAAAGTCTGGGATGATAGATTCTAGAGTTTATAAACCACCAAGTCTCATATCAACTGCCTCAACAAAATTCCAAAGATTAAATAGCACAGAAAATGTGAATGATGTTCAGAATCACCAGAAACTTTTAGCCTCATTTTATTACAGAAGGCTGTAAAACTGACAGATCAAGGAAATACTCCAAACAAATACATCTTAATTTCAGCAAACTCCAAGACAACCTCATGGACAAGACAGAGAAATATGGGTTAGTGACAGTAAGAGCTAGCTGACCCTAAACTGTGTTCCTTTGTATCATCCTCGGGGCAAGCCTCTAACAGCATACCAGAGAACTCTTGGCCTTGACCCGCTCAACATTTTTAACAAGTGATCAAACACATACTGAATATCTTTCCTATGCTTACTGTACTAGATGCTGAAAATACATCTCCTAAATATGTGCCCTCACCTCCATTCTCAATGCCAATTCTTTAACATCAATCTCATATTTTAGGCCCATATCATAATAACCAGACTCCTAAACTAGTCTCATTCATTCTAGTCTTGTCCTTCTCAAGCCATTCTCCACATTACTGCCACAGTGATCTTTATAAAATGATCTTCTTTAAAAAGTCTTATGGTGGGTACAGTGGCTCATGCTTGTAATCCTAGCCCTTTGGGAGGTCCAGGTGGGAGGACTGCTTGAGGGCAGGAATATGAGATCAGCCTGAGCAAGAAGGAGAGCAAGACCCCATCTCTACAAAAAAAAAAAAAAGAAAAATTAGCCAGGTATGGTGGTGCACGCCTGTAGTCCCAGCTACTCAGGAGGACTGCTTGAGCCCAGGAGCTTGAGGTTGCAGTGAGCTATGATGATACCACTGTACTCTAGCCCAGCAACAGAGTGAGACCCTGTCTCCAAGAGGAAAAAAAAGTCTTATTCTTTGAATTTCCTGCTTAATATCCTTTAATAGCTTTTGCACTGCCTTTAAGATGAACTCTAAACTCCATAGCATGGGTATAAAGGTTTTGGCACCATGTCACATGTCCCCTCTTCCATGTCAATTTCTACCATTTCTGCCCTTTCACATATGGTACTCTACACACAATATTCTCACAGACTATGAACTCTCTCTCTTCTTCCCTGTGGCTCGAATGCCCACCCTCTCATTTTCTGTCTGGTAAACTCCCATTCATCCTCCAAATCTTGCTCAGGTCTGTGAAGACTTCCGAATCTCCATGGTAGAATCTCTTCCACCTCTGTATTACTTTAACATCTGTGAAAGAATGTAATTCATAGTTTTGTTTATTTAACAACATGGAAGAATACCTTCTTCCACACTGAGGACAGGAATTATCCTTATTCAATTTGATCTAGTGTATTGACTGTCCTTTTTCCAATTGGCCCATATTTCCTTATCTTTTTATGCCATAGGCTCTGCCTGTATACCTCACCACTTTTTCAGTTGTAATTACCATCTACACATTCTTGTCTTTGATTTTCACTCTGAAACTAGACTAATGTCCAACTGCTTATTGTAAAAGTTGAACACTATAAAATTTTATAAAGTATAAATCATCCCTAGTCCTCTTACACTAATAGCCACCATTAAGTTTTATACTTATCTTTCCAGACATTTTCAAGGCATATGTAAACATATTTATTTGTATACATAGATAAACATCTTTGACACAATGGATATTATTGAAATCATACTATACATCCTATTCTGTAATATGCTTTAAAAAATGTAATACACTGGGGACATCTTCCCATGTCAGTAGATATATATTTACCTTATTTCTTTTAATAATTGTGTAAGTATTCTTGTATATATATTTACCATAGCTTAGCCAATCCTTTACGGGTAAATATTTAGGTGGTTTGTCAGTTTTCAGTCTCACAAACAATACTGCAATGTCATCTGTTAATGTCTTTGGCACATTTATGTAAGTATATCCCTGCAGTTGGACTGCTAGGGAAGGGCAAGGACTGAGTTTTGAGACAGAGATAGAGAAATTTGATAAAAACGATGGAGCGATGTGCTTAAGAAAACGAGAGAAGTACAATTTAAAGCCTTGAACAACAGTAGGTAAGAATGATGTAGACATGACAAAGTTGTGAAGACGGGGACAAAAAGTTGAGGTACTTTAAATTTATTGCCTTACTAAAGGCTTATCAAATCTATAAACAACACAGTTGAAAGGAAGAACTAATAAGTGCTAATATCTTCTCACAGGCTCAAATTTGCAATGTTTTTGATAATATGGTAAGTATAAACTAACAAAAATTAACTGAATACTGTTCTGTATTTAGAATTAAAAACAAAATAAAGACACAAGCACATAATGGGGGGAAAAATTAACCTAGCAGTTCTTTAAAAGAGGCCCAGAAGTTTGATTTGATGAAACTCAAAATGTGTCAAAGGAATGACACTTCTGAGGTGAGGATAGGGAGAGAATGAATACATATATATAAAACTTAAGGATTTATTAAAACAAATGTTATTAAAAATCCAAATTCAAGGGATAATAACACTTCTTTGCCTTTAGTGGTCAGGCCATATATGGAGTGTATGTTCTGCTCTGGATATAACCGATAGGAGGATATTAATGAGCCAGAGAGCATCCAGAGAGTAGTAACAAGAAGTCTAGAAACTCTAACAGAGAATTACTACAGATAAAGTAGGGATTTACAGCCTGGAAAAAACTAATGAAGAGCTGAGAGTTGTCTTCGAATACGAGACAGCACCTTCTCTTTGAGCAGCACTTTATAGTTTTCCAAGCATTGTCATGTATATACTTGCTTCTGAATCTCACAATGACCTTTTAAGATAAATAGAGCAGGTATCATTACAGATGAGAAAACTGCACAAAGTCAAACGTCTAAAAAGCTGGGTAGGTTCCTGCAGAGTTTAGCTGGTGTTTGGTTGCCTGCAACCCATTCTCCCCTTGTTCTGGTAACAGCACGCCCCTGCTTATGAAAATCACTCTATGTGGCTGTGGTGGAACTGTCACACTTACCCCAGCTCCATTAGATGAGCCAGGATTATCAGACTATTTGGGTTACCTACTCTTGATCCAAAGGGTGGGCATGTGATCAAAGCTTTTTCTTGAAATTTTTCAAATTTGGGTAAAAGATTATTTTATTCTTTCCTTTGAGAAAGCTACAAGCAAGGGAATGTGGAGCTGCTAGCAGCCATCATGCCCATCATCAACACCCCCACATAGAATAATCTGAGGTTATAAGGCCACTAAGCAATAACTTAAGGAAAGTAACAATATCTCACAATGACCACATCAGTCCAGTTGACCTTAAAACGGCTATGTGTGTTTCTTTCCAGAGTTTGTTACATGGATTGGTATATACCCCATTTCTGGCCAGGCGTGGTGGCTCACGCCTGTAATCCTAGCACTCTGGGAGGCCGAGGTGGATTGCTCAAGGTCAGGAGTTCAAAACCCCATTTCCAACTTAAGCTATTTTAAGTTTCTGTCACCTGCATCGAAAAGAATCCTGAATAATACACTATATACACTTAGTCTCTTTTACTACAGCTCTTTCCATTACGTACATGAAAGCTATGTCAAAACTAAGGCCAACATGGAAATGGGAAATTAGATTTTAACTCATTATAAACATTTTTCAACCTTAGAGCATGACCAAAAATAGAATTAGCTGATTTATGAGAAAGTGTGTTCCTTGTTACTAGAAAATATTGCTAGGAATGTTTTGGTTCTCACACAGAGTGAAAAACTGAATTGGATATTTCTCAAGTTCCTTCCAATTATAAAATTATATGCTTCTAAAGGCAGCTACCTTCTTCTCTTTTTAAAAATGGTAAAAAAAAAAATGCAAGTGAGGATTTTGTTACTTGTTATGCCCCACAAGAGCCCCCGAATATTTAGTCAGTTATATTACCCTAATGATATACAATGAAACATTTCCTTAGAAAAGAAAAACAACAAAGCTATAGTAAATGAGGAGTACAGCCTTAGAATCAACCATGGGGTGTTTTATTCTTACTTTTGCCACTGCATAGCTATGCAAATATGAACTATTGAACTTATACTAGCCTGTTTCTTCATCTATAAAATGGAGTAATAATAATCCCTTCCATGACTACTCCACAGGGTTGTTTTAAGTCTCAAAGAGCACATGAAAACACTCTCAAACTTTAACGGTTATATAAATGTTACAACAACTGCTTTGGCAGAATCCTTACTCAAATTTTCAGAGTTACTTAGCAATTTTCAACAGAACCATCTTCTACTAAATGCAGTCCAATCAATATTTCAATGAAATGTCATATAAAGCAATATTTCTCACTCCCTATCAATATAATCTTTCATACAGTCTGATGAAGACAGCAATTTATTTTAGGGAAAAATACCTATTTTTTTGTTTAAATCTGTTCTCAGAAACAACTTCATTTCTTAAAACTATAGCTTTAAGGAATGACAGAAATCAATACATTGATAGCTTGACTCAAGGTCTAAACTGAGCTAAGGTACTGTTGCACAAGTTATTTAGCTCTTTGAAACTCTTTCTATATCTGTACAACGGAAACAGTGATACATTTATTGCAAGATGGTTTTAAGAACTGTAAATGCCATACACACGCTCTTGGGTCACAAGGGGGGTTCAGTAATAGTGAACTACCTAACACACAAAGCAGCATAGAAATTTAGGACATCCGCGGGACTGCCTGTTCCAGTGGATTTAGATCTGTTACCAGACTGATTTTGCTCAAAATGGACAAAAGAATAAAGTAAACGGCAGTAAATTTCATAGGTAAAACCCTAGGTCTACGAGCTAGGAATCCCGGTTATTCATCAGGCTGGAGTTGGCCTCTAGCAGCATGCATCAAAATTAGAAATCTAATGTATCAAAATTATAAATGTGAAAAATGAAGCAACTGACTCGTGTAGCATTACTATTATTACTGGGGACACTATTTCGCCAAACTGTAAAATGCTAGCAAACTGTGCCCTTGACTCGAACTTCACAGAGATTTAACCAGTTTCTTTCTGTACACCGGAGTCGCCCGGAAGAAACGTCACAAACACCCCACTTTTACATCAGCAACGGCCGCGACCCCAAGCTCCCCTAGTGAGATCAAAGGACTGGACACAGCCTCACCCTCTTGCCAAAGGCTCCACGGCCGTTCCCACAAGCCACCCGTTCGCCCGCAGCCCCTGCCTCTTCCCCCTTCCCTCGCCCGCTGCGGGACACGGGCAACAGGGTAAACCGAGGCCACGGCGCCATCACCTGTCTCCGCGCTCCCCGAAAGCCGCTCTTCTCTCTGGAGGTCTTCGGCCACAGTTCCTGGGCAACCGAGAAGCCTGAAGCTAGGACGCTGGACTCGACTTCTCCTCTGGGCACACACTGGCAAGCGAGTCAGCAGCCCGAAGCCGCGCGCCGCCATTGTCAGAGCAGCAGACGCGCGGAGCCGAAAGGTCAGCGTGCTTCCGCGCATGCGCCCTGAGGTGAAAGGGATGGGAGCCCTTGAGAGTCAAACTAGACGAAAGACGTTCGTTTTATAGAACTAGAAAGTTGTGAAATTGTGGCCAGAATCCAGACGCTTGAGCTTTCGAATACGCTCACAGTTCTCTAAACGAAGAGCCCTGTCGGGCTCCTACTCTTTGAAATAGTGTCCAGAGAATTAAGCCAGAAAGCAAGGTCATGACGGAGGAGCACTGAATTGGGAGTCAGGAGTCTAGACACACAAAAATTACCTAACGTTAACACGAGAAAGCATTTAACGTGATCTGAATTTTAGCGTTTACACGTCTCATTCAAAACTCACCGCACTGTTTACTTGTGAGGTAAGTGGTGATATTCCCCTTTCACAGAGTTTAACTTACTCCTTACAGCTTATTCCCATTTTACAGAAGAGGAAACTGAATGAGCCGCCCAAGTCAGAGCCCCCACGTCCGACTTCAGTGCTATTGCTTTGTCCTCTGCAGAAGGCGGGTTTTGAACACGAAAGTGTTACCATCCCTACAGGTTTGTGTGACTGTACAATGAGTTATATGACTGGCTCAGTTTTGCATTTGTCTCCCTTTCCCGATTCCCGAAAGTATATACAATTAAAAAAATTATTTTTCAAAAAAGAAATGTAGAAGTCACTGATATTCTTAATAAGAGCAGTTTTAATGGAGAAATGGATACTGATTAGAGTAGTTTCAAGTGCAAATGAGAGGGAAGAAATTACACTAGAAAGGATGGTTTTACTATAAAGGTGAATAGAGAAATGGGGTGTGAAGAAACAGCACGTTTGTTATGTTGATCAGATTATTCAAGAGAGATGGAAAGTAGGTGTCAGGAGAGAGAAGAGAAAATTGCAGGGCTGTGTCCTTGAGTAGGTCTTGTAAGGAGATGGAGTCTAGTTCCCAAGTAGAGGAACTCAATCTAGGAGTAAGGGCTATATAGAGATGGAGTAGGTAGCTGGTATATTTGTTAAATGAATGACTGTCAGCCCATCACAACAGCAAAGTATTTGCCCCAAGAAATTCCATCTCATGACCTGGCACCATGGGACTTTTCCTGACCCCCTTTGTCAACAGAGTCCATTTTTGTATGGAGGATAGTCCACTGGGTTGTACTCTAGAACATTAAAGTCTGGGCTTACGTACTGACTTGTTATGATTCCCTGAAGACTGTTGCAACAATTATTTTACTTGGAACCATTTTTAATGTGATATATGAGGAAACTAACTCAAATTCATGTAAATTTAAAATGCATTTTGATGCATTTTATCCAACATTTTACTTCTAGGAATTTACCTTATGGGTACAGTTACACAAGTATGCAGTGTTATATGTAGAAAGATGTTCTCTTCAGCATTATTTGTTTTGTTTTGTTGTTGTTTTTGTTTTGATTTGAGACAGAGTCTTGCTCTATTGCCCCAGCTAGAGTGCAGTGGCATCATCATAGCTCACAGCAACCTCAAACTCCTGAGCTTAAGTAATTTTCCTACCTCAGCCTCCTGAGCAGCTGGAACTACATGCATGCATTACCATGCCCGGCTAATTTTTCCTATTTTTAATAGAGACGGGGTCTCACTCTTGCTCAGGCTGGTCTCCAACTCCTGACTTCAAGTGATCCGCCCACCTCGGCCTCCCAGAGTGCTAGGGTTATAGGCATGAGCCACCATGCCTAGCCCCTGCAGCATTATTTGTAATAGCAGAAAAATGGAAACAACTTAAACATAGGGGCTATGGTGATTGGCTACATGAACTGGGGTACAGACATGTTATGGAACTTTCTTCCCCTATTCCAAAGAGTGATGTACCTTGTCTAGGGGGTACCTCCAGCATGGGAAAACTTTAAATTTTTATTCCATATAATTCTGAATTATAAATATTTTTGAAAGCAAGCATGTATCAATATATTAATTTTGTCATTAAACATAAATATATTCAAAATAAATAAATTTTTTAAATTGTATGTAATTAAAAATACTTCAAGGATAATGGTAATGTTTTTAAAATTGTGTGGTAGGGCCACAGGTATTCATTGTATTAGAATTCTTCTTACTGTACACATATTTATAAATATTGTTTTGTATCTACTCAATATTTAATAAGAAGTTATTCCCATGATAGCTGATTATTTTCTTGTTAATGACCACTCTTTTGAAAAGGCTACTGCAAATAAAATTTCTTCAATGAATTGAGAATTCTGGTTAGCTGAGATCAGTTCATTCAGGTTTCTGTACATCTCTCAGTAATTGCTCATATAGATTTTCTTAAACATGAGAAGGCAGAACCAAATTCCAGGGATTGCTGAGTATTTGTTACATATGGTAGCCTTAATTTATCAGTTTACAAAGCTAACCTGTTGTTATGGACTGTAATGTGTCCCCCACCCCAAAAAAAGATATGTTTGAAGTTCTCACCTCCAGTACCTCAGAATGTGACCTTATTCCAAAATGACAAAGGTTGCCAGCAAGCCACCAGAAGGTGGGAGGAGACCCAGAAGGATTCCCCACAGGTTTCAGAGAGAACACGTCAGTGCCTTCATCTCAGACTTCTAGCCCCCAGAACAGTGAGATAATATATTTCTGTTGTTTTAAGCCATTCAGTTTGTGGTACTTTGTTACAACAGGCCTAGAAAACTAATACACTTATAGTTATAAATATTATTTTGACATCAGACCATAATTATCAATCAGAGTCATTATACTTCATACCACTAAGCCAATGTATTCACCCTCTGGGAGATCGTCTGAAATACAGCTCCATGAGTAACAGCTCACTATTTTTCTATGCATTGGAAATGTCTGGAAGGATCCTCTTTAAGCTGTCAGCGGTGGCTACCTTTGAGGAAGAAAATTAGGAGCTGAAGTGCATAAAAGTGAGGGACCTTTAACTCATTGACTTTTTTCAAAAAAACATTTTTTAATCATTAAAATTAATGATTGGAAAGTCAGTAGAAAAATAGTTAGCAAATTCTTGAATTGTGTTTACATTTCATTTGCTACCAAAAATTACTCTCATTTTAAGGTAAGCTAATCTTTCGATAAAATGGGAGCATGTGTGACTTACGGCTTGGGTGACCTTATATTCAGGTTGTGCCCATGTAATTACTAATAGCACCCTCTTTCACTCTCAAAATGTTTCAGTGTAGCTAGTAAATTATGTGGTCACCTAGCTAATTTTCAGGTCCTAGTTTCCTGTTTGAGTCATTAAGAAGGATTTTCATGTTCAAAGCCAAGTACATCGGCTGAGAGCAGCCGGCAGACAAATTTTACCAGTAGAGGAAACAAACATATACATAACCCCCAGGAGTTCTGAAAGGCATGAGCTATCACAATCTTGCAAATTCTGTGAAATTTTGTCTTTTATCTTTAAAGTCATAGAAATTTTGCATTCTCTACATCATTTATGTGTTTGTTGTGATATAAAAATAATATACTTCTTCCCCATACAGTTAAATTACTTTACTTTTCCCCTCAAATTGTCTTTGAGTAAAATTGACAGTCCTCAATTCTCATGCTTTCCCCAAGTCCTGACTACTGAAGATGCACACCTCTAACGCTGGGGACTTTTTGATCTTCTTTATCAAATGCCTGAGTGTTCAGTAAAAAGTTGAATTGTCATCTAATAAGAAGAGACTCCTGTGGGTAAATTGCCTTTAGTAACTGAGTTGACTTCTCACAGCCTTTTCATTCACACTAGCAGGGAATGCTCACAAACCCCTTTCACTGACTTTGGGCTAATGCTTGTACAAAGATTTACTTATGTATCAGGTAAGCAGAAATATATATTTATGTTAATTCCATTCATTCATTCATTCATTGCTTAAGTCCAAAGAACAAATCTCATAGCTCTGTTTCTTATGGCTTAGCCTCGCACCTTTCACAAGGACAATCCCTAAATATTAAGTGAAGGTTAGAACATCTTCAAGGGATAGTGTAAAAATACTGGCTTGGGAATCAGGAGATCCAGGTTCAAGTCTGCCTCTACCAAGAACCTACTATGTGTCATTAGAAAAGAAATTACATCTTGCTTTTGTCATTTCAGTCTGCTAAACTGCAGGAAGAGGAACAAAGATCCTCCCTTTCTTTATAACAACAACACTTGGAATTCAATTAAGACTTTTTTTTTTTTTTTTTGAGACAGAGTCTTGCCCTGTGGCCTAGGCTGGAGTGCAGTGGTGTCATGATAGCTCACTGCAAACTCAAATTCCTGGGCTCAAGCGATCCTCCTGCCTCAGCCTCCTGAGTACCTGGGACTACAGGCGTGCACCATCACACCTGGCTAATTTTTTTCTATTTTGGTAGAGACAGAGTCTCCTTCTTGCTCAGGCTGGTCTCAAACTCCTGGCCTCAAGTGATCCTCCTACCTCAGCCTCCCAGAGTGCTTGGATTACAGGCATGAGCCACTGTGCCTGGCCAACACTATTTACTCTTGATATAATTCTTATATAACCTTATAGTTCCTGGCACATAATTTTAAAAGAATATGTTTTAGTCCTGGGTACTTTGGCTCACATCTGTAATCCTTGCACTCTGGGAGGCAGAGAGAGGAGGATTGCTTGAGGTCAGAAGTTTGAAACCAGCTTGAGCAAGAGTGAGACCTGATCTATAACAAACATAGAAAAAAATTAGCTAGATGTGGTGGCTCACACCTGTAGTCCCAGGTACTCAGGAGGCTGAGGCAGGAGGATCACTTGAGCCCCGGAGTTTGGGGTTGCTGTGAGCTAGGCTGACGCCACAGCACTATAACCCGGGCAACAGAGCAAGACTGTCTCAAAAAAAAAAAAAAAAAAGAGCAAATAGTGTGTCTGCCCCTCAGAAGTTTGTCCTCTGCTGAGAACAGACTAGTCAATAAGTAAGTGCAGTCTAGTGGTAAATGTTAAAAGGGGAAAAGAAGTATAAAGCATATGTTCTTAAGAAAAGAGGTGGGTGTGCAGTATGTCAAGGACACTGGAAGGCACAATCCGTTATAACTGATCAGAGCAGGTAATCACACACCGCACACAGGCACACTCAATATTGTGAGCAATTTGATGTTAAGGACTGTGACTTAACCATCCCTGTTTCTCCAGCAGCAAAAACACAGGTTTACAACACATTGGATTATACACAAAAATCAAAAATACTTGTGCTGACATAGGGCATATATTCATAAGCTTGAAAGCAGTACTGCCTTAACCTATTACCTTTCATTTCAACTTGGTTTGATGGTCATGGTCTTCCATTAACTCCCGGAAAGTAAATGCTTTTTATTATAATTTTACATATTTTAAAACTTAAAGAATTTATTGATATTCTACCAATTTGGAATTGAGAGCATTTGGAAGAGATTAGACTATAGTTTACCTTTCCTTTATTTATGAAGCCAGGATTTGCAAAGAAAATGAAAATGTAAATTATGTTTGAGTTTCTTTGAACTACTTGCTGAACAATCTTCTAAAAATGTCCTTCGGTTTGGCAATAGTTATCAAATATACAAATTAGGAAATTACACTTAGAATAATTTATTCTGTAGACACAGTGGCTGATCTTGCAGCTGATTTCTTACAGAAAGAGATAAGAAACAACCTAAATGAATGAGGAGGCTCTTTATGTACCAATCTGGAGCAAAGGTCAAGATACGTTATCACAATTGCTAAATGATCCCAGGGGTAGGACACTGCACACACACATGCTTGAATGTGTACAAACTATCTCTGGAAGGATACACGAAACTGGCAGCCTTGGTTTACCTTGGAGATGGAACTGAATGGCTGGATCCAAGACAATGGTGGGAAGGAGATTTGTCTATACATTTTGTACCATTTGAATTTTTAAACATAACTCTAAATTTTATTTTAAAGACTAAAAATACTTTTTAATTAAAAATATAAAATGCTTTCAGGTCTATGGTTTGCTTCAGGGATGATAAATTGAGTACCTAATGATCAGAGGAGGCAAGGAAACTTACTTTCCACTGTCTACTTTTTGTACCTTTTAAATTTTGTACCATGTATGTACAAGGAGGAAAAAAGTTTCTAGCCAGCCATGGTAGTGAATGCCTGTAGTCCCAGCTACTTCCTGCAGTTCCAGCTACTCCAGAGGCTGAGGCTGAAGGATCGCTTGAGTCCAGGAGTTTGAGGCTGCAGTGAGCTATGATCATGCCACTGCATTTCAGCCTGGGTGACAGCCAGAATCCCATCTCTTAAAAAAAAATTAAAAACTAAAAATAATTTAAAAATTTTAATAGTTCCTTTAAACACTTTGTTAATGGAGTTAGTATATACATTTTTAAGAGTAGTCAAACTACATTTAAAATTTATATAAAGCTTTGTAATTATATATTTCAAATTTATTATAATTCAAACCAACTATTCACATCCATATCTTTGGGTTTTTATGATTTTGCTACTGATAGTGATTTTTTAAATAGTTACTTGAAGCTCTATATTTCCCCTATTCATATACTAAAGAAGTAAAAGCTAATTTTAAAATCATATCTTCTTTTATTTAATCTTTATGAGTGGATTGTATTAGTAGAACTGTGGGATTAAGATTGACACAGTGTTCTCTGAAATAAAATTTATGAAATGTGTATATTCATCTGACAAGCCAGTTGTTTAATGTATGCAAAGTGCTCATTATGTAATCACTATGGTTGCATTTCTAAACTCTGGGCCTCCTCACTTCTCCAGCAGTTCAAACTAAGAGATCTTTCATAAGTAACATCTCAGATATTGCATACCAATCCCAATCATTCATTAAAATTCAGTATTAGAGTTTGCTATGACGTACAAATAAAATTGCAATTAAAAATTTCTCATGGTCATATTATGCAGAGATAAACTGTTCCTTAGAAATAATTACGAACTATTTTGCCAGTTCATATGTATATATATGTATATACACACTATATATAAATATATACTATGTATAAAATACTTAAATATATAACAATATGTCATATAAAAATATATCTGATATATAATAAGAGGCATGACATCTAAATGAGATCATCATCTTTTAATATTTAAAGCAATCACTCAGATCCTCATACGCAGACTGGCAAGGCCTAATATTTCTTCCCTGAGGTCTGCTTGTCTCAGATTGTTCGAGAATCCCAGGCACAGGCTTCTGCCATCCATATGGACAATCCTATTAAATACCAAGAGAAAGAATCAATAAACCTCATCCTTTCTGACAACACACACCTCTTTTCTGCGCTGCTATTGCTACTATGGCCACATGGAGTCACTGTTGAAAACTGATGCTCTTATATAGTGCAATGCACATTCACCCAAAGCTGGGGTGAAGACAGGCAACACTGCTGGTGTCTCAACACCCTAAGAAAAAGAGCTTACATTTATTTTGAACATACTATGTGCCAGCATTGTGTTGTGTCAAATTGCATCATCTTATTTAAATGTCACAGTATGCCTGTGTACAATATTATTATTCCCATTTTATAGATGCAAAAATTGAGAAAGTTTAAGTAAAAGGACCAAGATCACAGAGTAAGTGGTGATTCCAACCCAGCTTTGACTGACTTTCTAATCACTATGATTATAAGTCCATTCCTTAAATTGTTCATGATTTTTTACCTAGTAGTTTCCCTTAATTATTCATAGGAATGCACATATGGGTTCACATACGAAGATATTCAATGCCGTATATAATAGCAGGAAAATTAGAAGAAATCTAAAGGTCCAGCATAAGGGGACTAGTTAATTTATAATCTATCTAGATATCAGAATACAAAGAGATTACATTGATTAAGTAATTAATATTAGCCAGTCATGGTTCTAAGCATCTTGTTTCTTGACTCAGTTAGCTCCCATGAAACCCTAGGATACAGGCATTATTATCATATTTCATCTGGTCTAAAACATCATCACTGAAAGACACTCCATTATTTTATGCATCACTAACAAAAATACCACCAATTAGTCTGATACTATACTTTTTTATTCTCCCTCTTCCTTTTCCTCTCCCTCCTCTCTGTAGGAAAAATATAATATTTTAACAATATTGAAAAGAAACAAAACTAGTAATTCAGACACTTCAGAACACAGAGAGAGCCTTTGGGTTGACCTCAAATCATGGGAAACATTTCTACTAGGACCTAAAATACTCTTTTATTTAGTGAATAAAACAGAGATCAGACCTAAAAAATTGTGTTAATTGAAAGAGCTTCGTATCTTCTTCACCACCCTATGAGATGCTGTACATAAACAAGTAGCAATGGCAACGTTTTCCTTTCCTCAGTGATTTTTTTCTAAGCAGTTGCTGCTGTGGAGACCACAGAGGATCAGTTAGATTGAAAGTCCTGCACCAGTATTGGAAGGCAAACGATTGAAAATGTGAGCATTGGCAGAAGGAATGTGACACCAGTGTTCTTGCAGTTCAGCTTTGTATATTCCAAACTAAGTTTCTTTTTCTTTTTGAGAGACTAGGGTTGCTAAAGTTGGTCCAGAGAATTGATTCTGTGTTGGAAGCATTTGGTGAGCTTATTAAAATTTAGATTTCTGGGCTGCACTCCCAGATTTATTTCATCAGAATGTCTAGGAGTGGGATTCAGGAATCTGCATTTTTTACAATGTTTTAGATATGCTAAAGCATGAGAACCACTGCTGAAGACCATCCTTATGTGTCTGTGTGTAATCTGCGTAATTCTAGATTTACTTTTTAATTTACTTTTCTGAAGAGGTTGCTTTACCACATGAAAAACATTTCATCCAAGCCAGTTATTGCTAAAGTTAAGCACTTTTCTCCATGGAAACCAAGTGAATGCTTTTTCATTTTTCTTTTTACTTTCTTTTCTTTCTTTTTTTTTTTTTTTTGAGATAGGGTCTTACTCTGGGCCTGGGCTAGAGTGCAGTGGCATCATCACAGCTCACAGCAGCCTCAAACTCCTGAGCTCAAGTGATCTTCCTGCCTCAGTTTCCTGAGTTTCTGTAGGCACCCACTACCACACCCAGCAAATTTTTCTACTTTTTTGTAGAGATGGGGTCTTGCTCTTGCTCAGACTGGCCTCAAACTCCTGGCCTCAAGCAATGCTCTTACCCTGGCCTCTGAGAGTGCTAGGATTTCAGGCATGAGCCACCAATCCCGGCCTGAGTAAATGCTTTTTTCTATATTTGTTTCCATATTAATTTTTGACTTAGATTGCAGAGTTTTATTAATTCTCTTATGTGTGATTTTTAATTGTGATCCTATCATTAATAAGGAATTCTGTGAACTTATACCCCAGTAAGCCCACAAGCCCAGATGCATAGTCACTAGGACAGAATTACTCATATCTGTGATTGCCACATTTAGTACTAACTCATGTCTTTTCTTTAAAAAAGGAAAAGAAGAAAGAAAGAAAAGATCCTTGGAGGAGGCAAGAGAGCGAGATTGCTTTGCCGTGTTTCTTTCCTCCGCAGGCTGCTGTACCCTCTTGGAGCATTTGTAACTGGCTCCCTCAGGAGATGCTCCTGCCAAGCTGTCTTCTTGTGGGTGGAAGTGCCTGCCCCTGCCAGGGCTTGCAAGGCAGCAGAAACCAACCACTAGCTGGATGGGGACCTCAGGATGGAGCCCATGTGCACTCTCCGTGGCAAGCCACTTCTGTTTGGTCTATGGCAACCCAGCTGGGTTAGGGAGAGAAGCCTCCCGGCAAAGACTTACAGTTAAAAGCTCAATGTTCTTACCTGTTCCAATGTACTAAAAAATGAGCACTCTATATAGGTCCCAGGGATTCAAAAACATGCCTTTAAATGGATCTTTCTAAAGAAACTGTTAAGATCTCCCTAAAGCCTCTGCAAACTATGTCAGACATTCAACAGTTTCCTAGCTGGGTATTTCCTTAATAATGTCTTTTTTCTTATCAATATTAGATATTTTTCCAAGAACTCAAGGGAGATTTGCAGCGGGATAATCCAGTTCATATGGTAAAAATGAAACCACTACCACAGAGCTTGTGATGCAATAAAGTAAGCGTAATAAAAGAGCCACCAAAGGAAACCGGAAGGTTCCGTATCTTTAAAAGAAAAACCACAGTGATAAGGCTTCAGCCTGCGGAGTTGGTTACCCAGGTTTCCCCACGCACCGAGTTTCTGTTACTTAGTAGAGCCCTATCCAGCTGGAAGAAAACTCAACCACCAATAAGCTCCACTCTATTTCTCCTGTATCAAAGAGGTTAAATTTTTCACTCTATGTATGCCTTTCCCCCCCTATAATCTCACTGTTTTTTTTTCCCAAATTCTGTGGGTACAAATATTGTTAGGGTTACATATTTTGCCCCTGCCCCTCTCCCCACCCCGCTCTGCCAGAGCTTCAAGCGTGTCCAGTCTTCAAGTGGTGCGCCCTGCACCCACCATGAAAGTGCGTACCCTTCCCCTTCTCCCCCCTTCCACCTGTTCACCTCCCATTAACAAAATTTTTTTTTTAGACATTTTGGTTACAGCGTGTTTCTTTGCCTCTTCCTAAAAAGGGATAGAGGTAATCCTTTCCCCCCTACAGTGCTCATCACGTCCTTAAGATGTGGGTCTCCCCCCATCAGATCCCTGTTGAACACTACGATTATTTGAACACTATAGTTTTAGGCTGTCAGTACCAATTTGATGGCGAGTAGATGTGTAGCCCATTTTCCAGGTCTTGTGTCGTCTCGCTTTGTATTACAGGCTTAAGCTTAATCCACGATAGCATAAATGGTGCTAGTTCACTATCGTTTCTTAGGATTGAGTAATATTCCATTGTGAGTATATACCACATTTTAGTTATCCATTCATGAGTTGATGGGCACTTGGTAATCTCACTGTTTTCTACATTTAAACGTTGAAATGATAACCACATTTACTAAGTATCCTGGTTTCAAAAATAAACTAAAGCTCAAAAGGATTAAATAGCTTTTTAAAATCACACAGCTAGTATAAGACAAAAAAATAAACAAACAAATGCCACCTGGGTATTATGTAATTCTAAAACCATGTGCTTTTCTTTGCCTCAGACTTTCCATCAGGGAGAAAAGATACAAATACTATGCAATTGATTATATTTGACGATGGTGTATTCATAGGGACTGTATCAAACAATATTTCTTTATGGCATTCTTTCCTAAAAGGAGCTGCATGTTATCGTAGTAATTGACATGCTTCGTGTGTTCACAGAGCTGGCCTCTGGGTTGGGTTCTGCTATTTGTTAGTAATGTGACTCTAAGTTTCATCACTTATAAAGTGAAGGTGTTGGATTAAATCACCTCTAAGACCTTGGCTTACTTTGAGAATCCACACCAGCTAATAACAGAATTGAAGCATGGATTTAAGAGACAAACAGTCATTCATGGTGACTTTTGACTTACACCAGATTGCTGGAATCTGCAGCATTATCTTCATGTGAGAGTCACATTCTCAGAAAGTCTTCTCTGATCTAAAAGCATCTCTTCCCACTCCCTTTGCTTCCCTTACCTTGTTCATTTCTTTCTTGGCACTTGTCACAAGTTGTACTCTTACACATATTTGTTTACTTGTCCAGTGTCTCTCCCCTGAGTAAGCTATGGGCTCCATGAAGGCCATTGAGTTTTGTGCACTGCTGTCTCCTAGCACCTGTAACTGTGACTGCATATAATACACACTCAAATACTTGCTGAATGAAGGGATGAGTGAGCAAATTGCCCATAAAATATTGTAGTGGTTATTCTTTCTTCTCATTTGTAACATTACTATTAGAAGCAGGTGCTAGAGATAAAAGTAATAAAATAATCTGTGTGCATTAAAAAGAACATCACAATGATACTCACTAAGACACTGCCAGCAGTTATGGTTGATCTGGGTTTGGGGCAGGGGGTAAATTTCATTATTGTGATTTTCCAGAATGACTTTACTAAACATGAATTGTTTTGCAATCAGATCTAAGTTTTTAAAATGTATAAACACTTGGCGTGCTCTCTAATTTGGTGTTCTTCTGGAAGCAGTTAAGGCTATAACCTGTGTATTGGGATGGGGCATCTGAAGCTTCCTGAACTATAATTAACTAGAGCCAAAAAGATGCATCTTATTATTCTAGCCTCCTGCCTGCGGCTCCGCCAGGAGGTCTGTGCAGACAGATTATGCTCTGTGAATCTTGGATCTGAGGTGAAACTGGGAAGTTCTCAGACTGAACAGCAGTTCACTTAGCCAAGACCACCCATGGTAGTGGGTGTCAAGCGAGCAAGGATGTGGGGGCAACCGGGTGTCAGCTGGGAAGCAGGGCTACAAGCAGAAGTGAGGAGGGCTGGCCAGTGGCTTCATGATCAGCAGCAGCCGATGAGTAATGTGGGTTGTATGTCCAGCGCCTGTGGCAATCCCTGGAACCTATTGATGTGTCTAAATGTCTCTTGAATGTGTGAGTGACTTAGCACCTGCTAAGCCCAAGAATATAATAATCCAATGGCTACATAATTTTGAAGGCAATACATTTAGGTTAGAATTTTCGGCTTTGGGTATGATCCGGGTGATCTTGGACAAGGAACTTATCTCTAAATTTCAGATTTCTCAAATGCAAAATGGGGCTAATTACAGCAACATTCAGGGTCATTGAATTAGTGATAATAACTGAGTAGATGAAAGTATTAACAGTTTTCAAAAATATTTGAGCATAGTGTAAATACATGCAATAATTGATTTCACTTTTCTCCTATTGTCAGAGCTGTAGATTGTTAACAGCTTTTGATATTACAAAAAGTAAAATGAAAACAAGGTATTTTTTCTTTTTCCCCTAATATAAATAAAGAAACCAAAGCTCCTTGAGTTTAAATGACTTTAAATTCATTAAGGTCACATGGACAGAAAATGGGGAAGCAGAGATTTGAATCCAAAAGGTGTTCTTTTACTTGGTCACTATTTCCCACTAACATTCCCCTCTTGCTTTCTGAAATTCAGATTTCAGGGGCCCAAGCCTGCTCTGACTGAGAATTTCCAAGGCACTGATCCCCAAACCAAGCGATTGCAGCATGGAGTGAGGATTCTGAGTGAGGGTGCCCCTCCCGCTGCCCTGGGACACACTGAGTGGCCCATGCGTCGTAAGTTAAGGCTGCAGCCTGCCTCTCGGGACAGGTGACCCACGAGTGACTTTCTTCATCCCTTGGTCCTGCTGTTTGAATAAGGGTGAAGCTATAGTAAGCCCTGAACTAACAGAGTGAGGGCCACAATTACCGTTTATTGCCTGAGATTTTGCTACCTACCTAGACAGAAATAAGACAGGTATATTACTAAATATTAGAAAAGAGAGGGTATGGTGCAAAAATAAAACACATAACCTAAAGTATGTCAAAAGTATCAGAAAATATAAACTATGCCAGTAGGCAATGGTGTGCTGGTAAATGTTTAACAACCAGCTTTCTATTTTTTAATTATTATAATTAAAAAAATGTATATAATTGTTTAATATTGAACGCTTCACAAATTTGCATATCATCCTTGTGGGGGGCCATGCTAATCTCCTCTGTGTCGTTCCAGTTTTACTACATGTGCTGCCGAAGTGAGCACAACAACCAGCTTTCTGAAGCCCCGCCCCAATCTGTAGCATTTGCTCACCTCTGTGGTGTAAATACTCCCACCACAGCACGTGTTTCAGGCTACCAGCGTGAGGCCACCGAGTGCGACGTTGGAGAGAGATGCACGTCAGCACATCGCAGTGTCGTGTTCCCACCACACGGATGTAATAGAGCAGCCTCAAAAGCCTAGATAAGAGTAAAATGTAATAACGACATCAGGAAGTGGTGAGTTTTTAGTATCTTTACCTTTGTCTTTAATATATATGGTGATTTTATTTTTAATAATGGCTATCATTATTTTATTTTCTTTTTTGAGACAGAGTCTCACTCTGTTGTCCAGGCTAGAGTGAGTGCCGTGGCATCAGCCTAGCTCACAGCAACCTCAAACTCCTGGGCTCAAGTGATCCTCCTGCCTCACCCGCCCAAGTAGCTGGGACTACAGGCATGCGCCACCATGCCCAGCTAATTTTTTTCTATATTTTTAGTTGGCCAATTAATTTCTATTTATAGTAGAGATGGGGTCTCGCTCTTGCTCAGGCTGGTTTTGAACTCCTACCTCGAGCAATCCGCCCACCTCGGCCTCCCAGAGTGCTAGGATTACAGGAGTGAGCCAGGCTGGCCTAAAGTAATGTTTAACAACTTGCGGTCACCAATCCTGAAAACATTGGCTCTTATGAGCCGGTAAGAATGGACGCGTGCGTGCCACTGCCTCCAGGAGTCTGGGCAGAGAACCGTTGTTTCAGACAGCGCTGGCCTGAAGAGCTGGCCTCTGCGCTAGCGTGGGAGAGTGGGGAAGATGCTCCCTCCCTCAAGCATTCTTGGTCTTAAGTTCTGGGGAGACTCAAACGCTGTAAAATAATTTAAGGAAATTTATTCTGAGCTGAATATGTGTGATCATGGCCCAGGAAGTTGTGCCCAAGCAGTCTTGAGCAAGGGGTCACGAGGCGGTCAGGTTACAGTTTGGTTTTATGCATTTTAGGGAGATAGGAATTGCAGGTTAAATCATAAATCAACACATGGAAGCTGTATATTGGTTTGGCCCAAAGGAACGTCTCAAAGTGGAGACTTACAGGTTATAGGTGGGTTTAAAGATTCTTTGATTTGTAATTGGTTAACGAAATAAAGCTTTATCTAAAGACTTGGAATGTTTTAAGTTAAGACAAGGAAGCTGTTAATGGGAGACAAGCCACAGTATGCAGAGCAGGTGACCTGTTCAGCTAATTGACGGCTTGCAGGTGATTTAACCTTTGCCCTGCATGGCCTTAGGTCCTGTTGATAATTTAGTATCTTATGTCACAAAGACTCTGTTGTGTCAGTCTTATCATCTGTTTTGTTTTGTTTTTTTATCATCTCTGTTTTAACATTAATGCTGGTCAACTGTTGTACCGGGACTCCCAAAGGGAGGGGTAGCAAGGGCTGTCTGACCTCCCTGCCCTCATGGCTAGGGTCTCAGCTTTAAGGTTTTTTGAAAGTCCACTTGGCAAGAGGGGGTCTGTTCATGGTGGGGGAAGCACTTAGGATTTCATTAGTTCACACTGGGAACACCTTAGGACCAGGGCTTAACCCCCAGCAGCACCTCTTCCTACCTCCATCATCCCACCCAGAACTTCCTCAGCGTCTTGGGGTGAGAGGAGGCAGGACCTCTCTGGGTTCCTGCAGAGCTGGGGGATTAAAGCAAGTCTACCTTAAGGTTAAGCAAAACTAGTGCTCTATTCCTGAGGCCTCCTGGGCTCAGCTCTCCCTCACATCCCACCCCAGGAGATAGGTGAAAAGGTGAAATTTCTTCAGAGGCCCGCCTCTCATAGTTAAAGATCAGAGATTAAAATGTAAGACCTGCCACCTACCTGACACCCTTTCACGTCTTGAGGAAGAGGCCCAGAGGCCTGAGCATGCCTAGGAACACAAGCTGAGGCATTTCAGCATCGGCCTGTGGCACTAACAAATACCAGCTCTGCACAGAGGCGCGTTTGCTGCAAAAGGCACGTGCCCGTGGAGGCAGGAAGTTGTTTGTTTGGGTCAGACGGACATGGATGACAATCTGGTTTCCTTGGGCATTTTATTTAACCTCTTTAAACTCATGTAAATCCCACATGTAAATGGAGAGAATAGTACCCACCTCATTGTCCCTGAGAGTCAAAGGAGAAATTCCACCTGAAAGGATCAGCAGAGTGCCTGGGACATATTAATATGTGCTCAACATGCAATCAAAATTAATGTTATTTTTAATATGGCCATAGTGTATAATGATGCTTTGTTGTTATGAAATTGATCAATCAAAGCATTTCAGGCCAGGTGCAGTAGAAGCCAAGAGTTTGAGACCAGCCTGAACAATATAGTGAGATTCTATCTCTACAAAATATAAAAAAACTTAGGCTGGTGGCATGCACCTGTAGTCCCAGCTACTCCAGAGGCTGAGGCAGGAGGATCACTTGAGCCAGGAGGTCAAGATTGCAGTGAGCTGTGGTCATGCCACCGCCCTCCAGCCTGGGCAATAGAGCAAGACTCTATTGTCTCAAAAACAAGTTCTGATGACCACTAATCCGTAGCCTTAAGAAAGGAATACCCCCTTTCCACACTGAAGAGATTGAATCTGTTGGCAGTTGCTTTCAGTCCTGTAACATAACTAACTGCTATGTTTTGAATGTGGCCCCCTCCAAATTCAGGTGCTGCCAATGTGATATCAGAGGTGGGGCCTTTAAGAAGTGAGCAGGCCGTGAGGGTTCCTCCCTCGTGAATGGGATTAGGAGCTTTACAAAAGAGGCTTCAGGCAGGGTTGGACTCCCTGGCTCTTTGGCCTTCTGCTGTGCCAGGATACGGCACTCCTACCCTCCCGACCACGGCCAGACACGGCCCTCCCCAGACAGCCAAACTGCTGACTTCCCAGCCTCTAGCGCTGTGAGAAAATAAGTTCTTATCCAGTTTCGAGGATTTTGTTATAGCAGCACAAAAAAGACTAAGAAAGGAAAGCGCAAAAAAATAAGATTTGAAAACAAAGTATCACATGAAGATAAGCGTGCCACATCCTTTTAAGTCTGTTGAAATAATCTCACCAGTTTCATAACATGTTGCACGTGAAGAATGTCATCTCAAAGAAGGCTATAAATTATTATTTCCGAAGGGCATAACAGTGTTTTCTTTGCCTGCATTTACATGCATGCATTTACACTTGCATGGGCACAGTAGGGATCCGATTGGACATATGTTTTTTAACCAATTCCTCCTCCCACCCAAACAATATGTTGACAACAGTTCCTTTCCATCACAGGCAATACCCTTCCTAGGCAGCATTTTCTAGCACTGCATCATATTAGGGGAAGAGGGGAAAATGAGGTTAATACACAAAGGACTGGCAGCAGGCATAAAAGATTACACATGGATAATCTCCACAAAGCCAACTGGGGCTACTCCGTAGTAGCGTTTGGCCCCAGGTATTGTGGGAGAGGAGGGGGTTGCGGGGAGCAGCACTGCTGAGCCTTTCTCCCCCTCTGAAATTGGGACATTTGAAAGCTACTGCACAGACCCAAGGACAGAGCCTCGCACACCTCCTGGGAACAGTCCCGAGCTGTGTGGCCATTGTGGAAGGTCACGGCTAAGAAACACTGTGCAAGGAGTTTCCATTTGGGAGGTGGAACAGAGAAGCACAGAGCAATGGTTTCTGTTTTCAAAGTGTGGTTCATGATCCTCAGATTTGGGGAAGGCTCAACACTAAGTAAGTAATAAAATTCTTAACATTTATCATATAGAACAGTGCAACTTAGGCCCTTTGAGCGACCTAAATTTTAGTTTTCTGCACCTGAGAATGGATGGTCTCAATTCACACACTGGCCCAATTTACACACAGTCTTCAATACAAACAGTCAGAGCTGAGTGAGTTTAGGAACTCCCCTTTCTTTCCCAAGGCTGCCGGGGACTTCTCTCTTCTTCCCCCACGTGAGGACTTCATCTCTGCCTGGGGCCCCATTTCCTTGTTTGCTTGCTGTTCCCACTTTGCACAGTGATGGCAAAAGTTGGTGAGTACAGAAATGTTCCCAAAAGGGACGAGAAGGCAAAAGGAACAAGGACAGAGAAGACTATCCCTTTCCCTTTCCACCTCGTCTGCACTCCTGCCCACAGAGCTAGAGAGGGCTCTAGGAGCTGAGGCCACAGCCTGGCACGCCCATGCGCCATGAATGCATGACAGATACTCACCCTTTCATTTCTTAAGGCAGGCAGGTGGGGCCTGAGGCTCCAGGGCCTGTTGGCCTTGCAGTCCCATCCGAGATATCTTAGACAGCGGTCTCCAACATTTTTGGCACCAGGAACTGTTTTCATGGAAGACAGTTTTCCATTGGCTGGGGAGCAGGGGAGGGGATAGTTTGGGGATGATTCAAGCGCATTACATTTATTGTGTACTTCCTTTCTATTATCATTACATTGTAATATACTGAAATAATTATACAACTCACTATAGGTTGGGGACAGCTGTCTTAGAGGGCTGCTGGCACAGAGTAGAATCTAATGATGCACCTTGGGGGCCTCACAGGTCTGATGGACATCCCGATCCACTCTAAGGGGCTGAGTGGGGCTGAGCAGGTTCTCCAGCAATGGCAGAATGACCATGACTGCTACTGGTCATGGTCAGGGCATCCAGGACTGCCCCAGCATGGGCAAAGCCTGAGGAGCGGCCAGTGGTGGTGCTGGCGCAGCGGTGGAGATGCCAGTTCCCTAGTGGGGAAGCCAGCCCTGAGTCTCCACCTCCATTGGCTACTTCATCCTTTGGGCAGCTTTGCCTTTTTAGTGGTGCCCAAGCTAACTGCCCCAAGGATGCATGCATTTGCTGCATATCGAAGCTTTGTCATTTTGAAACCCTTAATATGAAAAAGTTCTATTGTATTTGAAATCCACTCACATTATAAGAAACATATGTCAATGAAAGAAAAAGAGCTACTGGATTTTTAAAATCTGGCTTGGACTGTTTAACACTTAACATTATAATAAGTTTTACATTTATTACCTACATATCTGTTTCGTTTCTTATCTGAAGGTTATTAGCAGAAGTGTGTTTACTCAGGAGGCTGAGGCAGAAGCATTACTTGAGCCCAGGAGTTTGAGGCTGCAGTGAGCCATAAGGGAACCACTGCCCTCCAGCCTGGGCGACAGAGCAAGACCTTGTCTCTAAAAAAATTTTTTTTAAAGTGTGAAGAGATCATTCTTCAAACATCTTAATTAGCATATATATCTGTTTCAACATAAAACAATATAGAAAAAAGTTATGTTCATGAAGTCAGGCTCAAGTTCTTAAATTTAAAAATATGTAAAGGTTTATTCACATTATTTATCTTACTTCCATACTTTGTATTTTATTATAATTTTAAAAAGAAACATATTCCACCAATCTATAGCAGTTCCTAATTTATTCCAGTTTATTTTATTCATAAAATTCCATATGTTATGAATATGGAAAGACTAGAAAACAGTGTCCTGTATTATGGTGATTAGTATAGATCCCCATTTCTGGTTACATATATTAATGGGTAACTAACCCAGTGTTAATAGTTTTGTTTCTGTAGGTAAAAGAATTCGGATTTTCAAACTATAGGTGACAAACCCATTATTGTCCCAAACTGTGAGTGCAGAGAGCCTCTTCAGGTAAACTGAAAGCAGTTGCAAGCCCGTTTGCAAGTGCATTTTGTTGGAGTTGTTTTGTTCTGTAGAGTGACTTCTAGAATAACCCCCGGGCGGCCTCTCACTGGCACGTTTAAAGCTCACACCGCTAGCAGGCTGCTAAAAGGGCAGGATTGTATTTGCAAGCCTGGGGTGTGAGACCTGACCAGGAAATGCAAGGAGCCCACGAACTTTTTCTTTCCAGTTGCTCTCTCCCTCTTGGTCTCTTTGGGGATGCCAGATTCAATTTTTTTTTCTATTATAGCTCACTGCAGCCTCAAACTCCTGGGTTCAAGCGATCCTCCTGCCCCAGCCTCTCGAGTAGCTGGAACCACAGGCAAGCGCAAAGACACCGGCTAATTTTTCTATTTTTAGTAGAGACGGAGTCTGGCTAGGCTGGTCTCGAACTCCTGGCCTGAAGCGATCCTCCCGCCTCTGCCTCCCAGGGTGCTGGGATTACAGGTATGAGCCTTCGCACCCGCCAAGGTTCAATCTTTGTTAGACTTTAACATGTTTTAAGGAAAACCTAATTCACCCCAACGAAAGGAATCTGCTATTGCCTGAGCCAGGAGCAGCCACAGGGAGCCCTGCTGACCAGCCACTCCGCCAGCTCCCTGAAAATGCAGCTGTGTTCGGGAGACCTCAGTGTAGGAAGTCAGGCCAATATTTGGTTCCCAGAAGATTAGGTGTGGTTTATAATGAGCTCATTTAGGGCGGGGCGGGAGGGGAGTGGCTTCATAGTTCTATTTTTAAAATGCTTATAAAGATCACCCTTTGTTGCCTAAACGCGGCCAATGCGGGAGAGGCGTCCGCGTCACTGTGGCAGGGAACAGCCTGCGCTCACCTGGTTTCCCGCGAAAAGGCCAAAGGGGGACTTTGAAATACTTGGGCTCCAGCGGGCCTGGGATAACCCGCTTTCGCCCGAGCCAAATTCCGCCGCGCCGCGCGGGGCCCGCGGGGCTCGCCCGCCCGCACGCAGCGGCCACGCAGGCCGGGGCTGCGCGCGGAGGGGCCGGGCCTCCCGCAGAGGTAAAGGGCGGCAAAAGCCCCGCCTCGTTCCGCGGCGGCGCTCTGCTGGCGCCCGCGCGAGCGTGCGTTAGGGGGCGCCGGAGCCGCGGCGCTCGCCCGGCCCGCGCCGTTTGGTGTTAGCTAGCTGGACTCCGCAAGCTCGGCCCTGCAGGAGGCCCCACCTGTCACCTCAGCTAGCCTAGGCCCCGGCAGTAAGCAACTCACTCTCCGCAGGAGAAACGTGGAGCCACAGCGCGGAGGGGAATGGACGCCGGGCACGGCGAGCCACGGCGCGCTCCGACTCGCACTGAGCTCGGCGTGGGCTCTGCCGGACGCCCAGCGGCCCGGGCGGTGGCACGGTGGGGCTGTCCACCTGACGTTACACTCCTGCTCTGGGCTGTCCTGCAAAATGCCGGGCTCACAGGAGGGCTTGCTGCGTGGGAAACGGGGCGAGGGCGGCGGGTGCGCCGCAGCTACGCAGTACCGGCAACGGCCCGCAGAGCGGATTTCGCGGAGAGGCGCTTTTCCCTAGAATCTCTCCCCGTCTCACCTGGAGCAAACGCTTTCCACCTGCGAAGGAAAACCCCACATTAGCGACTGGGGCTGAGCGTTATGGGGAGCAGATCCGGACAGGTGCGCTCTGTAACGAGGCGGTGCCACAGAATAACCAGGTTCTGCTGGCCGAGCGCACCGTCCCTCGGGTGCTCACCCCCAGGTTCCGGGCGCACCTGGCGGCAGCCTGTCCCAAACCTTTCCACCTGAGCCGGACCACGGGTCACTGCCCTCATTGTGTGAGGACCTGAACCGAAATCTGGGCGGGGCGGGCCGCGCTACCCGCCATCGGAGGATGGACGCGGTTCCGAGAAGCCAGGGCTGCCAGTGCTTCCCGTAGCTCAGCGGGAAGAGCGCCTCTGTCCCCTGGAGTGGGGCGCGAGGACAAAGGTCTAGCAGCCTCTGGGGGCTTGCCCTGCCCGCCACAGCCTGGGACAGCAGAGTAGCCGGGGGCACGAGCCACTAGGATGTACGGTCTTCCCCTGGTACCGGGCAAGGGCACGGCCACCTTTTCCAACCCCGCCATTAGTGCGCGCAGTCACCAGGTCCTGGGAAACTTTTCAGTGTCCCGGGCCCCAGCCCCGGGCCGCTGCCGCCCCCGCCGACGTGCGGCGCCCTCCCGCGCCCTCCCGCGCCCTCCCGCCACGCTCGGCTCCGCCCAGGCCCCGCCTTCGGCCCGCCCGGGCGCCGGAGGGCAGGGGGCACGGAATTTCCCAGCGCGGGGCTCGGCTCGCCGCTATCGGGCAGTCTCGCTCTGTTTACGGAGAGAAAGGGGAAATGGAAAAGGCGGGGAGGCGGCGGCCGGCCTCCGCTGCGCCGCCCCTGGGCCGGCTCAGACGCCGTGAGTCAGGGGCCGACAGGGGCGGTCTGGGCGCGCTGGCGGCCCGGGGCTCACTTGTCCGCTCGGCTCCGGACGACGCGCCACGCTCTGGGGCCTGTCGCCCTGGCTCTCTCTCCTGCCGCCGCCGGACCCCGGTGGCCCTGCGTGCCCCGCTCCCGAGGACCGGCCCGCAGCCGCGCTCCGAGTCGTCGGGGGGCCGCGGCGGGAGCGCTTGGCCTGCGGGGCGGCGTGCAGGCCGCAGGTAACCCAGCATCTGGGGGCTTGGGGTGTCTTTCGGATCGTGCGCCACACGGGTGCCCTGGGGGTTCTCACCCAGAACCGGAGGGTGCCCCGGCAGAGGGGAGAACTCCGCGGCGAGGGGCGGTGGGGGCGTGCCCGGATCCCGCGCTGCGCCTGTCTCGCGCGCGGGGAGCTGGCTGCAGCAGGCACAGCTGGAAAGCACCTTGCGCAAGGGTCTCGCGGAGTGCAGACTCCTCCCTCTTCCTCCTCCTTCCCGGATCCCCGGCGCCCGGGCTGCGTCGGTCCGGGCAGCGCGCGGGGAGGCAGGGACCCGCTGTCGCCGCGCCCCCCGCCGCTGACGCCGCCGGACGGTGCTTCCTCCCTGCCGGGACCGGTGAGTGCGGCTTGGAGGCTGGAGGACGCGCGCAAGCGATAGGTGCTTTTACAATTCACAAGCCTTTAAGGGTCCCTGGCTTTGAGGGCCAGGGGGAAGGGAGTGGGGATGTGGGTTGACGGAGCAGGGAGCCCTTTGAATGGTGGAAAGTTAATTTCATGTTTATACTCGGACTCCGTTCCGTGACTGAAGGGCGGTCGTAACAGAACACGAGTAGTGGGCGCCTGGTCTCGGAGAGAGTGCCAGGAGAGGAGAGGCCGGCTCGCAGAGGCTGCTTTCCAGTGGTGACGGGACGTCGGGACTCCAAATGTTTCTAACCTGGGGGAGAGTGGAGATTAGAAAGAAACACAGTGCGCCCAGGAATCGTCCCTGCAGTTCCCAGGGGAAGGCCGCCAGCTGTCTTTAAGTGACACGTCGCAATGCTTGTCTGTTTCACTTTTGGGAGGACATATTTTGGTCCGGCATAAAAAGGCTGCTGTTGATAAAACACGGAAAGAAACGCTAATGTAGTGGCTTTTCACACCTGAGTAGTATGTGCCAGGTGAAGTGGAATCCAATGCCAGCTGTTGCTCCCAGCTCTCCAGGATGCTCCGAGGTTTCTGTGGTCACATCGCGGAAGACGGCTCCTAGGCACTTGGTCTTGAAGGAAAATTGCATAGTTGAGGCATCTGGAGTTTTGGAGCAGAGTGGCAGTTCTTCTGTGTGGCTGCAATGTGTATCATACGTGGGCTTTCTGAGAACAAAAATATATTAGAGTTGTACCCTGAGGGGCAGTGTACTATTTTGGCAGAAAAATCTTTTAAATGGGAAGTAACCCGAGGTATAATCATCCCTTGTTAGGCAGAAGCTGGTGCCTGTAACACTGGCCACTTTCACACACTTGCCAGGAAACAATGAAATTTTGTTTATGTAGATGGGAGTAGCCAAGAGTATTAAGTTGATGTTTAGGAATAGGATTTCCTTGTGATTTTATTACTGATTTCTGAAATAATTTGAAGTAAACAATTTTGATTGTATTTGCACATCTTTTCATTTCTAAAATCAGTGTAATTTTCTATTCTGTTAGGAAGTAAGAATTTTATGAGGCTATTAATTGTGAATTGTGTTGGGGGAAATGATCTTATGAAAGTCTTTGTTGCAAAACTAGAATACCTTCACAAGCCACACTTTTCTAGGTGGGTACTGACCATGAATAAGGCAGAAACCATTAGCATGTTGTCTGCTTCATTAAGGCCGGAAAGTGCTGAGGTTTTGTGCAGGAGCAGGTAGCAGACTGGTCGGCAAGGGTCCGGGCAGAAGAGATCTGTGAGACAGGAGCCCTGCGTTGCTAAGGAATGAGTGCAGGTCCCCAAATATCAGTGTCAAACACTCTTCCACCTCTCCTGTCACCCTTTCCCACCTCCCCCTTTCTTTCCAACTTGCAGTTTAGGGATGAGCGTGTGTGTGTGTGTGTGTGTGTGTGTGTGTGTGTGTGTGTGTGTGTGTGTGTGTAGCTCAGGTTTTACATAGACATGCCTGAGACTTTCTGCAGAATTCAAAAACTGAAACTTATCTTTTTTCCTCAGGATCAGCTGTGTGAATTTGAACTGCGTGAACTATTTTGCTCTCTTTCTTGAGTCATGTTAGTACTGGGACCTTTATTTTCCATGAAGTCATCATTTGATAAGTAACTTGGATCTTTTCAGCCACTGGGGCCCCAAATTAGGCTCTTTTTGTTTTAACTTCTGTTTTCCCAGTAAATTCTGCAAGGAGAAACTGCAACTAAACTCAGTGAAACTCAAGTCAAATGTTCCTCCATGAACCTAAAAAGTTCCTTCTCTATCTCAACATACTCCAAGAACCTGAATCAAAATCTCCTTCAAAGCTATGTGAGATCTCTGAGAGGGAGCTGCCACCCCCACTCTAGATCTAACTGTGGTGATAACAGTCATCAAAGCATTTCATAGGTTTCTGCCTTTTTTCCCTTTGCATCTTGTTTTAGATACAATCTTTAAAAGCTTGCTGTGTAGAAGGGGGTGGGAAATAGGTAGCCACATCCCATTTGCAGATAAGAAAGGAGACTAAAGAAGAATATGCAAAACTAGGAATCTGACTCAGTACTTCTCTGTCTCATGCACGTAAACCAGCTGCAAATGACACAGCTTACTCCTCTGTGGCTCAGACACTCTGCCAAGCACCGTATGCACTTGAACTCATTTAGTCCTCAAAACCACCTGCCTTTCAGAGATGGAAGAAATTGAGGTGTAGAAAGGTTCAGTTACTTGCTCAGTGTTATGCAGCCAGTAAATGAGGGGCCTGAGATTTGGCCCCAAGCAGTCTGAGACTAGAGGAATGTTGCACTTGCACAATGTAGACTATTTTGCTCAGGCATAATTTGTATATCAGCATATGACCTTGGAGCAAGGTAGCTATGGCACGAAATTGTGTGGTTCTTTTGTCAAGTGAAATTTACTCTGAGGCAGATGGCTGGGTCATGCATGCAGGTGGCCCTGCGGTGGGACATTTCCTGGAGCTTTGAGGTGAAGCTACAAGTTGATCAGAGGTATGTAGCTTTAGCACTGGGTGTCATGTGTGTTAAAGACTTGTGATTTTAAGAACCCAAGTTATCTTTTTAGAGAGAGGCTGTGCTTTCAGGAGCACAATGGTTTGAGCAGATAGATGTGTTTCACAATTCTCCTAGATCGCTTATATTCGTTTATCTTTTCTGCTTTGGAATGGAGTTGTTTGTTCTAAAGTCTTGAGTGACAGTGGTTACACTTTTGACTCTGGCATTATTTTGTTTTTGTCATCTACAGATCCCCAAGTGTGGCAGCTGACTGGCACATAAGAACTGAAGTGCAAGTTTTGCTAATATAGTCAGTTGGTGGTAGCCACATATTGCTTATGGTGGCTTTGGCTCTCCTGGTCTCTTTCTACTACCCACATCCTCTAGAGGGTCATTTGCCTAGATATCAAAGCAATTATCTGGACCCTCAATGTATTTTCTTTGAACCCTTAAAGAATTCTGGTCTCAGGAGGGGACAGCTGAATCGTATTTTAAATCATACTTGTCACTGGCAGAACTAGGAGTTAAGGCTCCCTGGCTCCCTCCCAGTGAGCTGTTTATCTCATCTGCATCAAAATTATTCCTGAAACTTGACCTACCACCATCAAATTGGCTTAGGTTGAAATCCATTTTACATGCTTTCTGGCTTTCAGGGCCTGAATTTTATTTGCCAGGTTAGCTCCTGAATTTATAAAGTAGTTGTTTTTCTTCTTCAAAGAAAAAAATAAATAAATATTTATTTTATTTAATAAAATAAATGGAGGAAAAAATAAATAAATAAAAAAAAACTATAGTGCTTCTTGCAGAGAACAGGCGAGTTGTGCAAGGTTGAAAGCTGTTAAGAGCCAGCAGCCTGAGCTCTTCACAGATTCCTGAGCTGTTCTTTCTGGTGTTTATGTTGAGTGAAAGTTTGTTTTCCGAGGCTGTAGCTGGTGCCGCTGACTCTGATTTAGAGCAAGCCCTCTGAGTCTCAGGTTTCGCCTCTGCAAAGTGAGCTGCAAGAAAGGTTATCTCAGTCCCTTTCAACTCGGCACTGTCAACTTGAATTCACACACACAGTTGGCAGGCCCTCATTTTCTGCCCAAAGGCATAGAGAAGCCTGGTCCAAATCCTTGTGCCTCAGTTTCCTGTTGGTCTTGAATACAAGTACGAACATCCTAAACCATTTGTGTTTTCTTTTGTAGACTCTGCAGAAAGTGCAACAGTGATGGAGTACATGAGCACTGGAAGTGACAATAAAGAAGAAATTGATTTATTAATTAAACATTTAAACATGTCCGAGGTGATAGACATTATGGAAAATCTTTATGTAAATGAAGAGCCTGCGGTGTACGAACCTAGTCTGATGACCATGTGTCAAGACAGCAATCAAAATGAGGAGCACACTGAGTCTCTGCTGCTTAGTGGCCAAGAGGTGCCTTGGTTGTCATCGGTCAGATATGGAACTGTGGAGGATCTGCTTGCTTTTGCAAACCACATATCCAACACTGCAAAGCGTTTTTATGGACACCGACCACAAGAATCTGGAATTTTATTAAATATGGTATGTTTTCTTCTGCTCAGTTGAGTGCTTGTGTGCACAGCTTTACTAACTCAGCTTCGTTTAATGCAGAGTGGCACTTGAACTTAGTAGCACTTACCTTAGACTGGCTGCCAGGTATGATTATTTTTAAAAATGTAATTATGGGTAAGAATCACCTCCATGTTAAAGATGCAAAAAAAGATCTTCATTAAGAGTTCCATTTAAAGAGTCTTGGCCATATTTTAGCAGTAATAAACAGGTAATGAAGAGAAATATATCTCATTTTAATAATTCACTTAAAATCTCATTCATCAGTTGTGCAGAAGAGAAAGACTTAAGGAGAATACTTCTGAAAGGGGAATAAACACTTTGTCTTTAATTAATATTCTTGAAGGCTGAATTATTTGCTCCTTGTTGCATCTTGAAATGTCTCACTGGCTACAATATGTTTACTTGAAATGTATACTGACTACTATAAGTTCTTGCAGAAATGTAGTTTGTATGCAGTAAATAGCTATCCACAGATTCACTGTCTTTAATTGGCAAAGTATGAATGACAAATGATACATTTGCTTAGTTATCCAAAGTATGCAAATAATTCAAGATGATGTGGCAACACTTTGTTGCCACAATAATAGATCAGGTGATGTGTTTAGGTGTGCCTGGGATTCTGTCAGGCTTTTAGTATGTCAGAGGTGAATGTAGATGCTGGCTAAAGATAATCTAATTTTTTTAAAAAAAGAACAATTTGCAAAGGAGTAGGTGGTAACTTGCCAAACATATTTATGGATGAAAGTGACTCCATTTTCTTTGGTGTATCTGAATGGCAAAATGGCTAATGTTGAGTAAATGTCAGTGTTAAACGAGTGAAGAGTCTGGACAAAGTACTTGATTATTTTGTTTTGTTTCTGCATATCACACTCATTTAATTAAAAACAGCATAGTAATTTAGGTCAGCTATGTAGTGAATTGTTTTGTTAGAAGCCAGTTGTGTTCAACTACAGCTCTGTATGGAACAAGATTACCTTTTGCATTATTGTGTGACTTGCTTTGGTCTGGATATATCACGCTGTATTTAACAGTTGGCTAAGAAGTTTACCTTCAGAATATTACTTTTTTTAATAAATGGGAAGTAGTAATTTGAATTAGGAGCAATACTTGGTTTTTTTTAGCTAAAGGATGGCTGGAGAACTCTGGATCAAAGTAATGTATATGTCTATAATGAGAGACAAAATTATGTATTTCTCATTTTTTCAATATTTGTTACAGAGTATCTTAAATGAAAAATTGCAGAATAAACAAATGATTGTTTCTTATTAATATGCAGAGATTTAAGCATATTTGGCCATTCCCCTAGCCCATCAAACTGATAAGAGATGGGCTATACAGTAATACTGGGAAAGTACAGAAAGAAATTTAGGAAAATTATAAGGAATGGAAAGAAAGAGCCTCTTGAAGTTTTTAAGAAGTGGGACCAGAAAAGCTAATGTGGAAAGGGAGAGGAACTAAGACATTCATGATAAGGAAGAGAAGATTTTATCAGCAAAGGGTGAGAATAAATGTTGTCATTACCTGCCAGGAGCCTACAAGTGCATAATTAAGGAGAAAATTTAAGAATAGGATATATCATAAAGGCAGGGATCTTAAAAACTTAAAAAATCTTTTTATTTAAAAAATGATCAAGAATATAAAATATAAAACAAGAAGACTAAAAAACACTGGAATAAGAAGAGGTCCTTAAAATGTACAGGAATACAGACCTGGCTTCACTAAGGGGATAGACCCAGTGGTCGATGGCTCTAAAGTGCCAGGTTATGTAGCTCAGATCTGTGGCTGACTGTCCTGTCACTGACATTGAAGATCAGATACATCCCCTGACTGCTAGTAACCCATCAGAGCTCTGTGCTTCATGAATAGTGGCCTGGGAATGTCACCTTTGGTCACAGCCAACCTGACAGGACAGTGAAGGAAGCTGGGCTTGCTTTTAACTCCCTTTTATCCCCAGCGGTGCTCTTGGAACCACCTGTTTCAGGACCTTTCTCTTCCTGCCATCCTCTCCCCACTATCCTATCCACACTTGACTCTTCTGGGCTGAATTTGCTGCTCTCTGTCTCTTGGCTTTGGAAATAACAGCTAGTTATCCCACACAGATTGGTTCCGAGGTAAAATCCATCTCATACGATGTCATCTGTCTACACAAGAAGGGAAAGCGTTCGTTGGGTGTCACCCACTCATTTGCTAGGACGAGTACAGAGGAACAGGTGCTTTTCCAGGAGCTACAGACAGTGCTGAGCAGTCTGTGCCCCTGGGCGTGTCCGGCTCAGCGCATGCAGGGCAGGTGAGAAAGCCATTAGGACGCAGTGCGCTGCCCTCGCTCTGGGAACTCTCGGCCACCCGTGTAGGTCGAGGGAGGGAGAACATCAGCACGGGCTTCCAAGAAGCATTGCTGCCTAAGCCACGGTCTGAAACATGGAGCTGGAGTCAGCCAGATGAAGTGGGGAATGTTCCAGATGAAGGGAACGGCATGAGCAGGGGCCTGGAGGCACGGTGTGTTCAGGCAGCCAACAACCACAATGCCAAAGAGTTAGATGGGATGGAGAACCAGGAATTACAAAAACATTCCAAAGCATAGGGACGGTGGGTGGTAATTTGGAAGAAACTTCAGAAGACAAACCTAGGCATGGCTTTGTGTGGGAGTGCTACAAGTAATTCACAATCTATGCTGACTCACGGCCTGAGCTGGGGCTGAATAATCTAGAATGGGTCCCCAACACTCCTGGCTTACGGAGAGCTGAAGGGCCCTGAAGGGTTTGCTCACAGCTGTGGGTGTGAGATGCTGCAGGTGTTCCTCAGGGTTAGTCGGGGAGTCATGGCTTCGCCACCTTCTGCTTTTAAGGTTGAAAAAACCTTCAAGATTCTTGAGTCCAGCCCTCTGTCTGATACTCAAATCACCCCATTTGTCTTGTCCAATAATTGATGGAAAATTTTGGACTGTGCTTGAAAATCTGGGATCAGGAGCTCATCCCATCCTGGGGCACTGAGTTTCATATGGAGTTTCATTTGCTCAGTTCTGACTGTAAGAAAGTTCTTCCTTATATGGAACTGAAAATCCATCTCTGCCTCCTTAGTCCGAGTCCTAGTTTTTGGCCATAAATAAGGTGCATCTGATGCGTAGTGGTGAAGCCTACACATCTTTGAATGAATTAAACCACCCAGTTCTGAAATGGAGTGGCTGTGTGACCTGGGCCTAATTATTTCGCTCTATGCCTCAGTTTACCCATCAGTAAAATGGGTAACATCATAGCACTTATTCCATAGGGTTGTTTGGGGGAACAAATAATAATTACACTTGCAGTGTGTGACCTTCTTGCACACAGCAGGTGTTTAATGAATGTGAACCATTGTGGTAGTTGTTGTATACAATTGTTATTTCCTGTCCTGGCGACAGTCCTTCCAATATGTTAAAAGTTATGTGTTCCCCTGATCGTCTCACTTCTTTTGTGAGCATTTGTGTTGTAGTGTTATCTTTTCTCATCACCTGGCTGGTGCCCTCCGAACTCAAGCCTGCATCAGTGCCGTGTTACAGCCCCCAGACTTTGAACACGGGATGCATCTGTTGGGGCCAGCGGAGTAGGACCCGGTTAGCCTGGCCTTTGTTCTAGATAGCATGCCTGTGCTAGTGGGACCCAAGATCACACCTGTTTCCTAGCAGCCATATCACACACGGGTCACTTATGGAATTTATTCTTACTCAAATACCTATGAATGTTTCTTAACTGCTGCTCTGGGGCCCAGTTTAGTATAGATGACAGAAATCTGGATGAGGAAATAAGGAGTTTGTTTATAACGTTTGCATTTAAAGATGGCTTTGATACGTTGAAGAATTGGCAGAGATAAACAACATAGAGCTCCCTAAAATTGTTGGTAGGGCCCTTAGAAAGAAGAAAAAAAGGCATCTCAAATGCCAGTAGAGACAGTCTGAGGCTAGAGGAAGAACCAAGACCAGCACTGCAAGCCGGCAGGACCGGCAGCTGGAAGTTCAGGTCCCACCCGCACGGGAGCCATGGGAAATCGGCGGGCTTTCAGAGGGGGGTCCCCAGAACACACAGGTTGAGGAAACTTCCAGTATTTCATGTAAAGAAGAGAAGGCGAAGGTATGCTCAGTACATATGTAAATATATAAATAACTGGGTTATTTTAGTAACCAGGCTTTTAATAACTGGGTTTTCGTCACACCTCAGCTTTAATTATAGCCTTACGGAAGAAAAAGACTCTTACCCAAAGACTAGGAGCTGCGGCTTTGGGGTCAGACAGACCTGAGTTCAAATCCTAGCTCTGACACCAACTGGCAAGTTCCTCAACCCCTTGAGGCCGGTGTCTCCTGTGTGAAGCAGAGATGAGAAGGCCCGGCCTGGCTGGAGGCGGCCGGGCGGGCGTGTGGGAGCGCGGGGCGCTGCTGCTGGCCGCTGCCGCCTCCGGACAGAGCGCGGACTCGGGGTGAGGTTGGGCTGTGGCAGACTTAGGCTGGATGACACCTTCACGGAGGGGACGTGAACGCTGAGATGGTGACGAGGTGTGCTGAAGCTGGGTCTATAAATATTTCATCACAAGAAGGGGCAGGAAACACGGTGACGGAGTGCGTGAGCAGGGTTCTGCCTAACGTGAAAAGGGACCACACTCGCCACGTTTCCAGCGTGCTGCAAAAAAGGCCTCTGGCAACTAGAGGTGACACACTTCTTGAAAGGAGGTCACATTCCAAACACAGCAAACTGTGGTTTGTGTTTGCCCGCATTCTCTCCAGGGGCTCACACGGCAGAAGCACTCAGTGAATATTTAGTTATTAACTAAGTCACTAATGTGACTTCACATTTCTAGGCATCAAAGTTATTCTCCGCTTCATTCCCTGACTAATGGTGGACACATCTGTTGGTGAGATGTGTGGCTAAAGTTAGCAGTGGTGCGCTGGATGAATGGCTCTTACGGTCACTGCAGCTATTCCGGGCAGCAGCCCGAGCGCGGAGTCCCATGCATCTGCATGTGGGAGGCCATTCCTTTCCCATGTGGTGGACTTGGGAATTTGTCTCACATTCCCCTGCAGCTTCTCTGTACTTGAAGGAACTCAAGGTCTCCTTCGTCCAGGCTGAAGTGCAGTGGCATCGTAATAGCTCACTGCAGCGGTGCACTCCTGTGCTCAAGCAAACCTCCCACCTCGGCCTCCTGAGTAGCTAGTAGGACTATAGGCATGCACCACCATGCCAGACTAATTTTTAAATTTTTTTTTTTTTTTTTTTTTGTAGAGACAAGTCTCACTGTATTGTCCAGGCTGGTCTTAAACTCCTGGCCTCAAGCCATCTTCCCACCTCAGCCTCCTAAAGTGCTGGGATTACAGGTGTGAGCCACCAAGGCTGGCCCTTGGACAGATTTATAATTCCTGAATTCATAATCTGAAGCTGTGGTATTACTGCTTATATTTAGGAAAAACTGGTATTCCTGAGACTTTATGCCTTGAAAGAACACTTTAGACATTCTGTAGGCACATATTCCAAATTATGTTTTCTGTGGACTACCATATTAATTTGTTTTAAATTTAATTATAATCATTTTTCTTCTTAATTCTTTTCCTCTTTTAAAATGGAGATATGCTTTATATAGAGTAAAATATACAGATCTTAAATGTCCAATTCGATGAGTTTTGACAGACGCACACATCCATGTAACCCACGTTGCTATCAGGATATGCCTGTTTTAACTTGAGTTCACTGGTGTTTGCAACCGCTAGTTCTAAGTGTCTACTTGCCAGTGAGCTCTCGGTGGTGAGGGTCACCTGTCTCACGTCCGTGGCGGCTTCCTCTGCCAGACACAGTGCCTAGCGCCTGTTGTGTACACAGTGGATATTAAATGAGTAAGTAGATGAGAAACAATTCTGCCTTACTTTATTTACATAGCATTGTCAACTCATAGCTCTGGCGTAACACATTGTTTTCCAAAATCGTTCACGATCGTCAGTTAATTTCCATGCTCGCTCTGCATGCATCGTGTGTGAGTAACAGCTATGCGGACCAACAGGTTCACACATCTCAATAGAAACACATCAACCTACAGGCACGGCTCCTATTTATGCAATCTTTATTTTCAGCCTTTGGTCGCTGTAGTCATGCTCCCTTAGATAAATCATTTTTTAAGTTCTGTTTGATAATGAATTACTCATGAGTAGATGGAAATATGACCAGGTCTGACCAGGGACGTGTGTCTGTTACATGCTTTCTCTGACTTGCCCAAGCTCTAAATATAGTCTCTATACAGTGTTACGATGACTCAGTGACATTAATTTCAAGCACTGTGTATAAAAGTCTTTGAAAATAACCAGTTTCCAAATGGGAAGGTGAGGGTCTTAGAAAAAGCCAACTTTACTGAAATTCTCACCCTCCTGCCTTTTTTATTTTGTCGTAGGTCATCACTCCCCAAAATGGACGCTACCAAATAGACTCTGATGTTCTCCTGGTCCCGTGGAAACTGACTTACAGGAATATTGGCTCCGATTTCATTCCTCGAGGGGCCTTTGGAAAAGTGTACTTAGCACAAGATATAAAGACAAAGAAAAGGATGGCGTGTAAACTGGTATGTGTTTTCTAACCAGATGACCCGCACTGCGTGTTCGGCATTCTGACTTGTGGGTTCATCTGAATTACCAAAGGTTCTCACCCTTTGACTGGATCTCATCTAAGGGTGCTTTTCCCCAAAGCATTTGTTTCTCTGGATTTGTTTGCTACCTGGGGTCATTCAGCCCCTAAATCTCTGCTTAGGAGCGTAGTTGATTTTAATCTAGATGATTAAAAGGAAAGTGCTTACTTAGCACCGACTTACTGTTTAGGAGGGCTGTCCTGCAGTGTAAGAGCGAATCTGTGTGCTGCTCCTTCCATCCCACTCACTGGGGAGGGGCCAGGCAGAGAAGCAGAAACTGAATAGGAGAAAGTCTTCTCAGGACTACAGATTTAAAGAGCTGAATTTAAATACACCAATTATTGAAAAGACCCCATCCTGTCTTATTAAACAGTAACTGCTAAAGTGCTGCCACTTTGGAAAACTGTATCTACCTAAGCTGAGCATTCACACACCCTGTGACCCAACAGCTCTGCTCCTGCAGGTGCGTCAACGGGGCATGTCCGAGTGGTCACCAAAAAGTGAAAGCTATTAATATGTACTAGCATGTTCACATCAGCACGGTTTGTAACTTGCAGCCTCCCGGATGCTAGAATACGGTGTAGTTACACAGTGGAATACTGGACAGCAAAGAGAATACATGATTTATAGCTATAATAGTGAATTTTATAATGAATATTATAACCATTATGTTAAGATGTCAGAACAGCCAGACACACACAAAAAACCTACTATATAAGATTTCATTATATAAAGGACAGAAACAGGCAGAACAAACCCATGCTACTGGATATGAGGACAGTGGATTCCCTTGGGGAACAGTAACTAAGAGGTGGTTTCTCGGGTGCTAGTAGAGTTCTGTTTTTTGATTTAGATGGAGGTTACATTTGTATGTTCAGTTGATGATTCGTTGAGTTTGACATCATTGTTACACTTTTATGTATGTCTATTTTGCTTTAAATTTTTTAAAAGTGTAACAAATGAAAATACACTCACTTTCGATTTAACAAAAAAAAATTGCTGAATATTATATCTCAGTCTCTCATATCATAACTAAAAGACCAACACTATGTTGGCTTCATTTATTCCTTTGTAAAGATTTGCTAGAGTTCTGTTATTATAAAGAAAAAAACAAGAAGAGTTATAGTAAGCCATTTGAAGCCTGCATTTGGAGGATATGTGTTCAAATGGTTTTTAAAAATCTGGAGGCATTTTGCAAAGATTTACAACCAGTGTCCTGTTTTTCAGTCGGTTCCTTGTAGACCTTATATTTAACTTGTAAGTTGCACTTTTTCTTAAAAAGGAAAAACATATAGATGATCAAAACCCCAACATATTCAAAAGGATAAGATCCCCTTCCTTGAGGCAACTACTGTGTGTGGGTTCTTCTGTACTCTTCACAGAAATTTCCATGCGAATGTGTGTGTTCAGTTTAAAAACTTTTTACAAATGAGAATATAAAATATGTGCTTCTGCACTTTGTGTTTTTCACCTAACACTATATTTTGGAGATATTTCCAAGTCTATCTGCAATGAAAGTGCTACTTCTTTCTTTATTAATAACTATCTGATTTTCCATGGAAAGAATGGCTCACTGGTGCTTATTTTACATGCATTGCTGGAGTATGAACTGTGGGACCAAAGACTTCATTTTATCTCACAACAGGTTGAAATGTTGAAAATACAGCCTAAAATCTAGGTGCCTTGGAAATTTTGTGTCTAAGATGGGAAATTCTCTCTCTTTTGATTCATTCATGATTTTATAACTTTGGTTGCATTTCTATACTCTAAATTAAAATAATACTTCACTACTGCTTTTTGTTTTCCTGTTTTGAATTTTTACCTACAGCTGCTATGATGTAAAGGCAGATCTGAGGTGACCATTACTGTCACTGGCGATCCAGTGTCATGCAGGTCGCGTTTATTTGCCTTCTGGTTTGTACATTGGCCTATATGACGTATTTCTAAGATTGCTTAGAATCTTGCTCATATTTCTGTGTTCCAGATCCCAGTAGATCAATTCAAGCCATCCGACGTGGAAATCCAGGCTTGCTTCCGGCACGAAAACATCGCTGAGCTGTACGGCGCAGTCCTGTGGGGCGAAACCGTCCACCTCTTCATGGAGGCAGGAGAGGGAGGGTCTGTGCTGGAGAAACTGGAGAGCTGCGGGCCAATGAGGGAATTTGAAATTATTTGGGTGACAAAGCATGTTCTTAAGGGACTTGATTTTCTACACTCAAAGAAAGTGATTCACCATGATATTAAACGTGAGTATCTCTGGATGTTGGCCTTTTGGGCTTAGAGGGACTAGTTAGAAGGCAGTGGCTTCTCTTGGCCATCTGAAGACCCCCAGTGGCAGGGAGGATAGGGGCCGGGTCCAGCTTCCCTCTCTGGAGCGCCCTGAGGCGTGTCATTACACAGCGGTAGTGACCCCTTCCTAGGAGTCAGATGTGGTGGAGAAATAGGCAAGAGAGACCCACTATGGCCCTTAATAGCAAGGGCCAAATTGGGACTAGTGCAACTTCACTGGGGAAGAAAAAATGGGTGTTTTATTTTAAAAATGGGTGTTTTAGCAAAGTGGCTTGATTATAGTATGCGTATATCTCGGAATTTGAAACTCGAGCCCTTTGACTGTTGTTAGTGGACGTGATCATTTACACCCACATTGGCGGAATCCTTGACTGATCTGAAATTTATTTTCATCCAAACTCTCACCAAAAACCATCCTCCTCTTTTGAATAGAATACACCCCACTCACTAGGGAAAGCATTTTAGTCTTTTCAGATTTGGGATTCATTATTGTTTTAGATAATGTTTTCATTTTATGTATGAGTATATAGAAAATTTTGTTCTAAAATGTTCTTCTCGTTATAGCTAGCAACATCGTTTTCATGTCCACAAAAGCTGTGTTGGTGGATTTTGGCCTAAGTGTTCAAATGACTGAAGATATCTATTTTCCTAAGGACCTCCGAGGAACAGAGGTAATTATAGTCACATAAAAATGGTTACTATTAAGAGTAAAAAGAAAAAAACATTCTAGAATTACCATGGGAAAGAAGGACAAAGAACTGAAAGAAAATCATTGCATTAAATCATTATTATTAATGGAACAAATTTAATGAGCACTTGCTCTGTGCCAAGTACTTAAGTTTAGCATGTTATTATTTTTTTCTGTTACTTATATAATACTTATAATATCTATTTTTATATAATATAAAGCATTTATAAGCAATGTAATGTCAAAATATATTTTTCAGCTTTAAAAGCAATTATGGAATTATAGTTAACTTTATATTAAGTTCAGCACTTTAAATGAATTATATTTTTTAATCCTAACAACACTGTTATTGGTAAATATTATTATAGGCAATAAAATATTATTATTATTATTAATATTATTGTTATTATTCCCATTTTACAATAAAGGAAATATAAGCTTGAAGAAATTAAAAGAAAGTGCCTAAAGTTACTGAGCTAGTGACAGACTCTAGACCCAAACCCAGTTCTTTCTTAGTCTAACTGCAATGTAACTTTTTAATAGAACTAATATATCATGCAACTATCTTACTGATATAACTAATCTCTCTGAGTGTTGGCTCAATCACTGTCTTAATTGTCATGGTCATTAACATTTATTGAGGACTGACCACATAGGCCTATCTTTAATCCCAGGGATCCTATAATAAACCTTAAGTCATGTGCATAAAAAAATCTAATTTGAAGATAGAAAATAGCTATAATATTTATCTCATCCGCAATGCAAACAAACAAAATAAAACAAGGAAGCCTTTACTGAATCTAAATGAGATGCTCTGAAATACATGCGTGAGCGTCCAAAACGTATATTTACCGTAGCGTTCACGGTCCTAGGCTGACTGATCGGTTGATTTAGCAAGCATCTGTCGAGCACCTGCTGTGTGGCAGCCTGCTGCAAGCACCAGGGAGATGCATGGGACAGAGCCTCGGTGGTACTCCAGCGCTCCCCACTCTTTTGCAGGAGGACCTACTCTAAATTTACCTGAATTATTGAAAGAATGACAGTTTGGTTCACAGCAGGTTGTGATGGGCACAGATCCTAGACTTGAACCCAGTTTTTTGTAAGTCTAAGCCTAAGGTCTAACTGCAATGTACTTTTTTAATAAAAGCAATATATTATTAGTTGGGGTTAGATGCAACGGGGAAGGTAAATGGTGCGAAAGCTGCCTCTCCGGCCCCTTTGCACTACTTGGGGGAGCCCCACTGCCTGTGCCCTCCTCTTCGCTGGGAGTGCCCACGGGGAACAGAGCGGGAGTCTCAGGACCCGCCTTCACTTGGAGATGGCCGAGTCAGTCTTGGTGCTCAGCCAGACGGCAGCCCTTAGTCTAGCAAGCGTATGTGTTGCACTGAACTGACTGCAAAAGAATTGTCTTCCTTTCAAATCAAGATTCTGTAAGCCTTTTCTTAACTCTCTCAAAGCAAAGGCTCTCTTAGGTGGCAGCAGAAGCCCCTGCTCTTGCTGGTATTGCTGGAGTTATTCCCGGACAGCACTTGAGAAAGGTCTCTTCATAGTCGTCTTTGAACAGAATAATATTCATAAGAAAAAAATGTAAGCTTTTTTTTTTTTTCTAAGAATGCCTAGTTCCAAGATCTTAAGAATACTTCAACAAAGCAGAAAATCTAATAAGACTCAATGCTTACATTGTGTTTTCTTTGGAAAACGTTTCTTCATGTTTGGCATTAGTCAGGAATTCAGATATGTGACATCCCACCCTTTTTCCTGGAGCCAGTTTGAGAAACACAGTATTTACGGTATTAAAAATGGAAAATACCTTTCTCTTCCCGGCAGTGTGGTAAAACTGAACATTTGGCAATGCTGGAGAAAGACGTGGCTTTTTCTGGGATCCTCTAGCAGAATGCTTGGATAATGAAATAATAACATTTTTCATTCCTGAATAGTATTTGGATTAAGTTATTTTTAGCAAATTGCTTTTTATGGAGTGTAAAATTGGCTTTGATGTTTATAATTATAAACTATCTTCTATTTGACCTGCATTTGCAATCTGTATAGTCCTCAGTAGCTGAAGCTTGATTTGTGAAGTCACCAGTGAAATCTTCCACAAGCTTGCTTAGCTCCTCCTACTTAAAGAGCCAGTAAGATATAATTAGCCAAAATCAACTGTGCAGATCTGCTTGACATTAGACCTTGATCGTGTGGCTCCTGTGTAGTCAAAGATGATTTCTGGTCCCTGCAGTATAGCTCATGCATACACACACTGGTCACCTGTGTGGTCTCTCTCTCTCTCTCTCTTTAAGCATTCCTATGCAGAACATTCTAGTGTTAGCCTTTCATACACGTACAGGGTTAATCCGGCATATATGACTCTTGTTTTTGAGTTACATGGTGCAGAGAAAGGGTAAACAGTGTATGTGAATAATGAATTGGAATTACTTTTAGAGCATGTTCCTTTAAAAAAAGTTCTTATTGTCTTCTGAGTCTGCTTGATTTGACCTTCGTAAGTTAACACAGAACTGTCACATACACGCACAGTCTCTTTCCCTTTCTAATAAGCGTGTTGAGAGGTGAAAGGCTCAGTCCCCGACATCAAGGAATCCCAACATCAAGGTTCCGCTGCTCAGGTGCCCAGGCCTGAGGGTGCAGGCCTCCCGGAGATCCTCACGTTGGGCCACCAGGGCTGTTTGTGCCTTCTAGTCCACCAGCCCGAAGAGCGCTTGGACGTCACGCCCTGGTGCCTCTGTCCTGGCTGTCCTGGGTCTCATAGAGCTTGAAGAGGCAGGAGTCTGAGCCATAAAGCTCTGGGGCATCTGCCTGAGGGTGGCACCTGGCCACCAGGCTGACAGGAGGCGGCCATCCCCAAGTGCCACCCACGTGGCATGGAACTGTAGAGCCACCTGTGCACAGCTACTGCCGGTCACACCAGCCGAAAGCGCTTTCCTAATCCTTGCTGCACTGAAGGGGGCAGGGAGAGGAAGGAGGTGGATGTCCTCTGTTGACAGTAATACCCACTGCTTTTCTTTCCTTTTGCTTTTAATTTTACTCGATTATGGTGATAGCACTTCACATGAGATCTACACTCTTAACACATTTTCTAGTGTGCACTGTTGTCGGCTGCAGGTACATCATTGTGCATTTAATTTTTCACTTTTTGCTTATGTTTAGTGAGAAAATCTTCAGGATCCACATACTCTGTCTCTGCTGCAGGGAAAGTTTAATATTAGGGAGCTCAGTTTAGCCTGTTTGCTGAGAGAAAGGAAGCCAGCCCGGAAGTGTGTTGTGGGAAGGAGTTGAGCAGGGTTAGGGTGGGGAAACAGGGCAGTGTCCCCAGTTTCTGTAAGCCAGTTCTCTACTTATTTACTTTGAAATATTCTGGGAACACTAACCCTCTCCATGTGCACATGACACAATGTATTAATACAAACTGTTTAAAGCTAAATACTGGCAATTAGATTATTAGCTGCCGTGTGACTGCACCGCCAGGAATACAGATCACTGGTCACAGTGTTCGCTATGTTTCACTTTCTTTTCTAAGTTTAGAAACAAACACTTCTTAGGGAAACTATTTATAAAACCAGCCTTACTTATTCAGAATTGACTCATGAAACCAGATAGAACTTATACAGTGTTAATATGCATGAATTTAATGCATATTATGCTATATGCATGCATTTAATAGGTAGTCACTGGACTACATGACAGGTAGAAATAAGAGGTAGTTCATAGAAATTACTCTTTAGCGTCATTTTTACAATATTACATGTTAGTTTTCAAGTTCTTCCCTTGGGGATGGATTGGTGTTAATAGACTATAGACTTCTGCCACCTTTTACCACCACAGATAATAGAGGTTTAGCAATATAATGACAAACAAGTGAGGAGATATGTTTGCAGTATCCGTTTAAATGTTAGGAATTGTTGTTTTAATAGAAAAATTAGCTACACCTGATCAGTGCTTTGTAGCCCTTGAGAGCGGAAGTCCCAGGCGAGTTCTGGGCTCCAGGTTGGTTTGCTGCCGTGTCAGCCATGTGCTCAGTCTGTAGAAAAGGTGTTCTTTGTCAGACTGCAGGGGCACCTCCAGCCAACGCTGCTTTGGTTCCCAGAGAACGCCTGCGTTTTTCTCCCTAGCCTCAGGGAGCACAACAATGACATTCTCTTCTGAAGGGACACAGTGTGCAATAAATATGATTGAGATTTCTGGAACTGGGTTAGGGAAATGGAAACCCAGACCAGTGTGGGGAATCAGGCTGATGTTTCCATCTTTTTCAGATTTACATGAGCCCAGAGGTAATTCTGTGCAGGGGCCACTCAACCAAAGCAGACATCTACAGCCTGGGCGCCACGCTCATCCACATGCAGACAGGCACCCCGCCCTGGGTGAAGCGCTACCCTCGCTCGGCCTACCCCTCCTACCTGTACATAGTAAGTGGCGCAGCCGGGCTGGGGCTGGGGGTTAGTTCCACCAGCTGCGGGTGGGGCAGGGGGTGCCCTTCATCCTGTAACACGGGGGGCCCCAACCTATGGTGAGTTGTACAATTATTTCATTATATATTACCATGTAATGATGATAGAAATAAAGTACAATAAATGCAATGTACTTGAATCATCCTGAAACCATCCTCCACACCCCTCCGCGCCCCGTCCATGGAAAAATGTCTCCCTGAAAACAGTCCCTGGTGCCAAACAGGTTGGGGACGGTTGCTCTAACATGATGGTGAGATGGTCACCCAGGAGAGGCAGCTGCGAGTTCTTACCTGGGGCAAGGAAGCTCCATTCTTACATTCTTACAAGGAAAATATTGCAATTTAATAGTAACTTACTATTAACATCTGCATTGAGCATAAATTATATGCTATTCCTTTATGCATGTAATAATAAAATACCACTCAGTAGCATAAATCTTTCAGCCAAGGAACTTGTATATATTCTTTGAACATTTTTTTTTTTCAAGAAGATGCTAGATTATTGATCTTCATACCAGCTTGGCTTGCAGTGGAGCATGCAGCTCCCGTTTTATCACTGATGGATTCGGGAGCAGACACTTCAGCATGACTGCCTAGTGACCTTTGGGCCATGGACAGGAAGCTGTCACTGATATGCAGACCTAGCATGTATCTTCTACCACATTAAACCAAAAGATGGGTTTCTCTAAGTGTCCTTAGGAAATTGAAGGGAAGCTTGTTTAAGATTATGAACTGTATTTGCTGCAGGGCAAAGGGGTGGGAAACAAATTAACACTGGTGCTAAGAGAGCTGGTTTATTGACAGATCCACAAGCAGGCGCCTCCACTGGAAGACATCGCAGATGACTGCAGTCCAGGCATGAGAGAGCTGATAGAAGCCGCCCTGGAGAGGAGCCCCAGCCACCGCCCGAGAGCAGCAGACCTACTAAAACACGAAGCCCTGAACCCCCCCAGAGAGGACCAGCCACGTTGTCAGAGTCTGGACTCTGCCCTCTTTGAGCGCAAGAGGCTGCAGAGTAGGAAGGAGCTGGAACTTCCCGAGAACATCGCTGGTAGGGACACCCTGCTGTGCCCATGCCCCTTTCTGTCCCTTCTTTCTCTGTTCCCATCAAACCTCTGATGTATTTCATAGTTTATAAAAGCACTTGGAAAAAAAGGAAATGATTTCTTGAGTACCATACATTGTTTGAGAAATTTTAGCAAGAATAGTAACAAAAGCATTTAAAAAGAAAAAAATATTGGCTAATTTACCATCAAATAATAGCAGATTTTCAGTGCAAATTTAGGGAACACAGTCATTAGAAATTGCCTCTGACTTGCTTTGTTAAAACTTGCTTTATTGCAACATTTGGCTGCAAAAACAAATTGAGCATGACAGTTTTGCTGTTGGTAAAGCATGAGGCTTTGCTTGATTCACTTATGGTAAACCACTCCAGTCCTTGTCTGGAAACATCACTGGCACTGCCCTGCACAGATAAAATACTGAGTTTGAAGTCAACTTGCCTTTCTGTCTTCCTCTGCTTAAAATCTCTTTGCTGGCTGTGAACCTTTCCCATTTAGGAAAGTTGCCTGCATTCCAGGAGCCTTGAACATGCATGGAGAAGGGTTTTCATTTTTTTAAAACTATCTGTGGCATTCTTAATCCATTTAGGTCCAAACTCGGATGTCAAGCCTGGAACACTTGTTTGCATTTTTTTCTGCTTCTTCTCTGGCTTTTCTGTATTTAAAAAGAACCATCTGGGCTCTTGGAAAAAATGTCAGGATTCCTAATTAATTTCTTGTCTTCATGGACTCCTGTTTGAACTCTTGGTCGTGTATGTCACATTACACAGACTTGCCCATAATGTTCAAAGACCAAGCTTTAGAACTTCAACACTGTTTCATTAGGCCCTAAAAGATTTTTTTGCAGGCAGAACAGGTATTTATTATTTGACATATTCCCTCATCCTCATTTTTTATTTTTTCTATGTTTCCCTTTTCAGATGCTTCATGTACCGGAAGCACTGAGGAATCCGAGATGCTGAAGAGACAGCGGTCTCTCTACATAGACCTCGGCGCCCTGGCGGGCTATTTCAACCTGGTTCGGGGCCCCCCGGCGCTGGAGTATGGCTGAACAGCGGTGCGTTTGCTCTAACCCGGCCAGCATTTGTCCCCTGGAAGCTGGTTCTGCTGGCTCTGCCTGGCGGCTCTGTATAGTGAATTCTGCCATTTGTTAGGGGACGGTGTGGCTCCAATGACACGTGAATGCGGCTCCAGGTGGCCCCTGTGTATTTAATTTGTGAAGCTACTCTGGTGTGGACCAGATCTCGAGGCTCTCATTTCTCAGGTGGTGTGACTGCAAGGGAAGAAGCAGAGTGAGTGCACAGGAGGGTCATTTCTGCTGGCTGATTCCATTCACCGTGCACTGTGCTCAAAATTTTAAAGATACCAACCACAAGGATACTCTGTTAGCCAAAATTACTATTCTTGGTTCTTATTTAAGTATAGGATCTTCATTTAACTCAGAATAGTTGTTTTGTGTATATTGGTGTATATTATGTAACTCTTTGAGCCTTTGTTGTTAGATTCTGATGTAAACTGAATTCATTATGTTTTGGGTGAATGGAACAACTTGAATATTGTACCAATATGCTGGACTAGTGTCTTAAAAATGGCTAACTGGTGAATTAGGAGTCATCTGACAGCAGGTCACGAGTGACAGTTTCTGTTATGTTCCTATGGAAACATTTTGTACTGTACATGCTATGCTTAAAACATTCAAAACGTGTTGTTTTTGAATGTGGATAAAACTGTGTAAACCACATAATTTCTGTACATCCCAAAGGATGAGAATGTGACTTTTAAGAAAAATAAAAACTTTGTAAATGATTGTTGTTACTTTTGTAATTCTTATGATTCTATTTTCTTTTAAGCATTTGTATATTAAAATAGCATACTGTGTATGTTTTATATCAAATGCTTTCATGAATCTTTCATATAAATATATATTTAACATTGTAAAATATGTAAGTAGTCTTATTGAAAGTATGTTTTTTACATTATGCTAATGAAACCCAACACTTTTGTCCAATGTGATTGGTCAAATCAACTGAATAAATTCAATATTTTGCCTTAATTCTTGTGGAGTGTGATTTCCAAATGGAACTGGGGGTGGGTTAGGGGGCTGGTCTATAGGTCGTGCCATTACGGTAGAAGGCCAGAGTGCCGGGAGTTTGCGAATTGTATGTCCTCTTCTATTGCTGTTGTGTAAAGCCATTGCTGTCAGCTGAGTGGGTTGTGTGCCCCTGGTTCATTGAAGTAGAAGAATAATTGTGAGCCATTGGTGTAGAATAAATGTTCTATTTTGCATCTTGTTTTTATACATTTATACTTCCCTTGAATATTTGCTTGCATGTTCTTTGCTTATCACCATTAATATTTGGCAAGCTGGTACTAACTTGCCGTTGTATAAGTAGATTTAAATACCGTGCACCGAGTCTAGTGAAAGCTGTCGAATGGGAGTGTGATGGGTGATCCTTTAGTGGGTAGGATTAAACACTGTTACGTGAGCTACACAGCGTCTCCGGTGATCCTCACGGGATACACATGAAATATGCATTGTGGCCTCTTTTTTTTTTCCAGAGAGGGAACGGAAGCATAATGAGAGTAGGTAACTTTATGCTCAAGTTCACAAAGCAAGCAGAGACAGAGTGGGTATTCCGACCCAGGCCCCTCTGACTCCAAGACCCATGCTCTCCCTCAAGTGGTACGGCTTGGAAGTGAGAGTTCGTCCTAAGTGAGGGACCCTTTCGCTGCAGAGGACTCTGAGTGCTCCCCTGGGCTCAGTGCCCCAGGAGAGGGCGGAGGCGGATTTCCCACGGAGCCGCTGGCCTGTGGGCGCAGGGCAGGTCCCTCGCTCACACGGGCCCTGCGTGGCCTTGCGTCTAACTTCACATCGCCCCAGATCAGGCTCCGCAAAACCTGGGCCTACTCTGGTAAAGATTTACAACTTTTTTTTTTTTTTTTTTTGAGTCAGAGTCTCTCTCTGTCCCCTTGGGTGGAGTGCAGTGGTGTCATCATAGCTCACTGCAACCTCAAACTCCTGGGCTCAAGTAAGCGATCCTCCTGCCTCGGCCTCCGAGTAGCTGGGACTACAGGCGTGTGCCACGACACCTGGCTAATCTTTTCTATTTTAAGTAGAGACGGGGTCTCACTCTTGGTAACGCTGGTCTCAAACTCCTGAGCTCAAATGATCCTCCCTCCTCGGCCTCCTGGAGTGCTAGGTTTACAGGTGTCAGCCCCTGTGCCTGGCCACAGGTATACGACTTTTGATGATTTTCATGAAAAACTTATATAGTCAATATGAATTGAGTTCCATGTAATACATCCATTTGGAGAAAACTGTTCCTTTTAAATAAAGTGTGATTGTCATGGGGGGACCTGCAGATGTTTGCTGAGAGCTGGTCAGCAGTGGTGGTGGTCACGAGACCACAGAGGAAGTGGTCATGGGAAACCACAAGGGGAAGTCAGGGGCTGAGACCTGCACCGAGGACTTGCAGCGCTGTTCACCTGGGAGGCCAAGCGTTGCAGCCTGGGACGGTCAGCAGAGAAGGAACCAGCTGCAGGGACGCCAGGGCCCAAGTGGGTTTCCAGAATGCGCCACGCGTCCTCCTGAACAGAGCACCCGCACCGTCGGGCTAGCGTGGCTAGGACAGAATCACCAGTCCTGAGAGCAGCTCACCTTCACGATGCCTGCTTCAGGTAGCAAGCCTCTGACCGTGTGGGGTGACGGACGCGTGTGGAAGGCAGACAGCCCTTCCCAGCTCCAGCCTTGGAGTCCATCTCGCCTAAGCCCTTGCTAGACAGATGGGTGGCCTGCCTGCTGGAGGTCACAAGGCTGACACTAGCGCCTCATCTTCGAATCCCCACTACTCCCCTGTATTTGCCTTGAGGTTTGTCAAGTAACCAGAAACAGGATGGAGACTGCTGGCCAGGAATCTGCTGGACCTAACGGGAATTTGCCCAGCCGTGGAGAGACGGTTTCCACCTGGGACCAGCCAGTGCATTTCTGTCCCTCCAGCTGTTTCCAGCTGATGTCTGCCGTGTCCCCAAGCACCCTAGTGGGACTTAAAATTGATTCTGTCAGTCTCCTGGGTTTCTCCCAGATGCAAGTTCACTGTCTACCAGTCACAAGAAATTTGGTCTTTCACTGGAAGCACGTTTCTATAGTGTCACTCAATATGAAAGTCTGTGTTTTTTGGCCGGCCTGGGGGATTCTTTTCATAGGGCTGCAGTGTGGTTGGGAGTAGAGATTGCTTGGGGCCAAGCGCCCTGGGCAGCTGGGAGGGAGCGCGCCCAGCAGGAGTACAGGCCTATCAAGGGACCGCTGAAGACCTGTGGCACCAACTCTGGGCAAGGAGCTGTGCTGGCCCTCCAGGGACAGACGCAAGAGGATGTCCAGCCCTCTTACTTATCCAGTCCCCGCTGAAAGGAAGGACATTGCATTTGGGAATTGTTGGAATTGTTAAAACTTTGTTTTAATTTACATCCCCATCTGTCCCCAAAATGATTTTTGGCCAAGCATTTACTTGGCCGAAAGCATACCATTTACCTATGAACTGGCTTTTAAATGTCGATCTAATCTCCAGTGCATACGAAAACGAGGAGTACGATAACATGGTTCGGCCACCAACATCAGATTTCAAAAGCTTGCTTTGGGCCAGAGAGAGGAGAGCTAAAAAGTGGCTACCTGCCAAGCATTTCTGCACCAATCCGCACGCACCCTTGTCAGGATGTGTGCTCACCTCTCTCTCTGCTCACCTCTCTCTGGGAGGCTGTGCAGATTTGAGGGTGGCAAGAGGAGAATCATGTTCCTGACTCTGCTGGGCAAAGGCCCTCAGCCCAAGAGCAGCTGCTACATCTTCACCAGCCGGAACTAGGTCTCTAGACTTCTTCCCGCATTACCTACGTTTAACCTTGATGGGGTACATCTGTTTTGTCACTCTTGTGAATCAAAGTGAGAGACGACCACTCACAGCCAGCACACAGAAGAGCAGAGCATGTGCCGCAGTGATTTTCAGTGCTGGGAAAACGTTCTGAGTACTTAACCAAGGCTGAGACATCTGCTTCACCGCATATTACAGAACCAGAGGCGATAATAGCTTGCTATGCGGCTGCCCGGGGTGTAACAGCTGGTTTAATGAGATCCTGTTAATTCTGGTGGCCCTACAAGGGAGGCCAACTGGAAATTACAATCAGTGAGTCATTGGCTGAGAGCATGGCATTCTCTCATCACCGCTGCACATGGAGCTGCCCGAGTTGGCCTGGCAATCAGATTGTTATGCAAGTAACACTAAAGATGAGGAGAGATATGGAATTGCCCTACCAATGTTGGCTCCTATGATCGTCTTCTTTAATTTACTAATGCTAAATGTTCCCTATGAAACTTAATATAATTCAGCTTCATTTCTCCCATGTGACCCAGAGAATTTCAGAGCATTCTCGTGGAACACGTCTCCATAAGTGGCCCACGTACAAACCCTAATAGGTTTGACTCTATTGAGCCTAATTTACATTCTTTCAAGGGACAAAGGAAGATGAGAACAAAGAGGAATATTTTCAGCAATAAAAGGGTTAATGGGGCTGGGTGCTGTGGCTCACACCAATAATCCTAGCACTCTGGGAGGCCCAGGTGGGAGGATTGCTTGAGGTCAGGAGTTCGAGACCAGCCTGAGCAAGAGCAAGAACCCACCTCTACTCAAAATAGAAAGACATTAGCCGGAAAACTGAAACTATATATAGAAATAATTAGCCGGGCATGGTGGCGCATGCCTGTAGTCCCAGCTACTCGGGAGGCTGAGGCAGGAGGATCGCTTGAGCCTAGGAGTTTGAGGTTGCTGTGAGCTAGGCTGACGCCACTGCTCTTTACCCAGGGTGACAGAGTGACACTCTGTCTCAAAAAAAAGGAGGGTTAATGGGCACTCCTGGAGGCTTGGAGCTAGGAGCGGAGTCGGCTTCTGGCTCAACTTGCTCTTTGCAGATGCGCCAGCGAGAGCCCAGGGGACGGAGGTGGGCGAGGGAGGCCGCGCTCGTGTGAAAGGAGACAGCACAGCCTCCACAAACACACTCAGCTCCCCTCTTTCTGCCTTGGGTTTCCTCTGACCGGAAATTTGGGTCTTACCAGAGTTTTGCCCCTAATAGGACGGAGAGACTCACAGCCTAGGAGGCTCCCAAAACCTCTCACCGCTTCCCCGTGTGGACTTACCTGTGAGTCCTTGCCAGGGCCAGCAAGCAAGAAAGCACCAACTGTTTCTGCCTTAATTAAGTTACCTCGGAAAGGAAGAGAAAGAACAAGGTAATTGATGTAGATTTTCTCACTGAAACCGAAATTTCCTTTTTTGGTCTGGCTAGCAAGCAAGAGAGAACAGAAAGATCTGGCACGCGCTTTCCTCATTCACCGCTTCATCCTCTTTCTCTCCCTCTGGACACCCCCACCCACTCTAACTCCCTAGCTCTGCTCCGCCGAAGCGATTGCTGCTGGCAAAGACAGTCTATGCATGCACAAACACGCGTGATTATATGACACCCTTCTTTGTAAACAACAACAATAAGCATAATCTGTACATAGTTTTACATCTTGTTTTTTTGACAGAGTATTTCCCAAGGATTACAGAAGTAAATTGCTCTTAACACAAGCAATCCCTTAGCATGAGTCTCACTTTGTACACAAATCCATTTCTGCCACGAGATAGGCTCTCAGTTAGCATTCCTTTCTTCCTCTGGAAATTGAGAAATGGAACAAGATGACCTTTCAATTTGCTTCCAGACATTGATTCATTTTACAGGAAAGGAAATTGAGTGGCAATAAATTTGTCAATGTGTCTAAGGTTCAAATTTAATAGTTTGCAGAGCAGGTATGAGAACCAAAGCCCTTGACTTCCAACCTCAGGATTTTGCCACCAGACCATACTGCTGTTTGCTGCTGTGTCCTTTTTGGTGTCTATGGCCTGAGACATCCCAGAGCACACGTTTATACTTATCTTAGCTTTTGGGTGTGGAGAATTGATAGGAATTATCTGGCTAGATCGATCA